GACCCAACCAGGGCCGGGGACAAACTGCAACCGACCTACGTACTTTTTGCGAGAACCGAACCCAGGTCTCTCTGGACCGAAGGCCGTTTCTCTAACCGCTGGGCCAAACCGGCCAGGGCGAGGCGCCATTTCTGTTAAGCCGGGATGAGAGCCCTCCAGGAGCACTCCCAGCTCCAGGCAGCCCGTTGTGGAAGGTTGGCAGGCGGTTGGCGCGGGACGCTCGCTCCCGGGTCCCTGGCCATGCCCTTCGCGCTGATCCCGGGCGCCGCGCGCTGCCGGCTCTGCAGCGGGATCTTCGCCCTCCCCAGAGGACAGTGGAGGTCTCTGTGCTTTGGGAGGGGTGCCCTTAAGTCCCCGGGCATCTTTTCAGAGATGGAGAAAAAAGCCAAGCCAGGCCAGGCTTGGGGGGCGGGGAAAGAAAATGCAGAGGAAGGGGCTACACCCTCTGCCCAAATGCCAAGGTTTAGGGTTCGATCCCGGGTCAGGGCACACACAATAATCAACCGATGAAAGCATAAATAAGTGGAACAAATTTCTCTCTTTAGAAAAACATATATATGTATATACATACACATTTAAATATATATGATATATATTAAAAGAAAGGACTACACCCTCACCCCAGGTAAAGTTAGAATAAACTTGTGGCCGCCTTTTACCCAAACCAGGTGCAGCTTCTGTGATTCCCCGTATCCTTGCTCTGGGACCTTGCTAATCACTATAATTAATTACCAGTGGCACTAACTGTTTGTTTCCCAGAACCGAAACTACTGAACAGTCCAGTCTGAGAGGAGGACGATGCTCTTTGGAGAATCCATGAGAGCAGAATCAGCCTCCAGCAGGCACTCTGGGGTGCCTCTTACTCTTGCCCAACGCACCCTTCTCCCTCACCCCCAGGCAGGCCGGGACTCTCGCCTACGGCCAAACGCTCACAAAGGGTCCTGGAGCCCAGTGCAGGAAGGTGGATCGACTCTAGTTTCTGCCATGTAACCAGATTATCAGAGACGCTGACCAACCTGAAAGCAAACACTTTGTCCAATGGAGTGACTTCCAGTGAAAGAATTTATTAAAAACAAACAGAAAGGTAACTTCTCTCCCTCTACAACTTGGAAATGAGTGAGCAGAGCCAGTTACTGTCTTGAACACTTGAGTAATGAATCACTAGGCAATTGCTCTGGATACTGTAATTACTTTTTAACAATGAATAGCAATACTGTACTTGTCTGATCATTTCTGGGAGTAGCAGCGATGCAAAGAAAAGTTGGTGATATCTCCATGAGTCTTACACAAGGAAAGAAATGAGAAACTGAGGCACTCTTTTGGATAGGTCAGACTAAAAAAGGCCCCCAACAGTGAAATAGTCATAGACGTGGTACTGGGCACTAGCAGGATTTCTGTAGTAACCACATCCGTGTAGACCAGGGTTTATGAATGGAATAGGTTGGAATCTCAGCAGCTCTGGATTTTCTGTTGCCTCAGCTTTCTACGGCCCTGAAACTTCTCCTTAAACTCCCACTTCTGAGGTTCGAACCCCTCCCCCGTCCCCACCCCCACCTCCTTAAGTGACCAAGTCTCTGATCCCCTTCTGCCACCGCAGCAGCCTCCCCAGGAGCCCATCCCGTTGGAACAGCTGTGCGTTTGCTCCTTGACGCGAAAGCTGGTTTCCGCGGGGGATGGGCCTCAGGTAGGCGCCCGGCACCGCCAGGGGAAGAACAGTTTGGGAGCATCTGAAGCGAAAAATCCAAGCAGATGCTGGGCCCGCCCCTTTCCTCTTGGGGCCTCAATTTCTTCCAGATCAGTTTCCTAATGGAAAATTCCTAAGAGGTGGGGCGTCTGCGAAGGCGAGCTCGTGCGCCTCTGGGTGCTCCCAAACTCGCGAAGCGGGACCTGCTAGGGGGGAGGGCGCCCCGCAAGCAGGCCGCGTGCTGGAAGCTCTTGGCCTCAGTATGTCGGAATCCTCTTTCCACTAGGTTCTCTTCCTGCCCTCAACTTCCCATTATTCCAGATTCTGCAGGCTCCTGCCTGGGCTGTAGGCGAACTGCCGGTCCTGGGTGATGCCCTGGATTTCGGGGATCATTCATTCTCTCTAAGCGTCCCCACTAAGTCTCCAAAGGCGGGTCTCATTGCTCTGGGCGAAGTGCCCGGCTTTGGGCCCAAAGCAAGGACCAGGAAGGAGGTATATCCCTCACAAGGGCCCAAGGTCCGGGGACACGCAGCGGGTGTCCCAATTCGAAGCCACCTACAATCCTCCTGATCGCTCCAATTAGCACGAGATTAGCACTTTTCCCAGATTACATCTAGCCTGTGGATGTTTGTCCTAAGTGTCCTGCTCCCAGGTAGAGAGGGCCCCTGATAAGGCCCCAATCAGGCGCAGCGTTGGAAGGTTATTACTGCACTATTCCACACAGACAGCACTATCCTTCCCACCTGGAAAACTTCGAGGGCTGAGCCCAAGGACTTTGGGTACTTTGGGTGGAGCAATCGGAGACCTGCGGGGCGGGCGTGCGTGTGTGTTGAATGAATGTGTTGGGGTGGGGGCTGTACAATGCCCGCTTGGGAATTAGCTGGGACAAGGGGGCTGTACAATGCCCGCTTGGGAATTAGCTGGGACAAGGGGGCTGTACAATGCCCGCTTGGGAATTAGCTGGGACAAGGGGGCTGTACAATGCCCGCTTGGGAATTAGCTGGGACAAGGGGGCTATACAATACCAGCTTGGGAGTCAGCTGGGACAAGCTTTGGGCCTGAAAGTGTCCTACACGATTCGTCTTGAGTCTCCAAACACGCCGTATGCTACCTCTCAAACCACGCAAATCGCTCGCGTCTGGCGAATCCGAGAACAGTGGCTGCCACTATGAAAACCCGATGTGGAGATCTCAAGTACGCTTTCCGTAAAACCCAGGAAATTCGTTTGCGAAAAGTCTCAGTGTAAGGAGGATGCTCCAACCAACTGAGTCACACCGGCCAGGGCGAGAAAAGTTTCTGTTCCTGCTACTTGTCAGGTTTCTCCCACTTCCACTTAGCCATGTTTCTGCGATCTGGGTAATCCCCTTCAAGCCCGGGAGGAATTCTCCCGGGTCCATAATTGAGGATCGGAAATCGTGGGGGTTAGGGAGCGTTAAATCCTCCCGAAGCAAGGTTGGTGCAGGCGCGCACTCTGGGCGGCCGGCTTCAGTTGCCGCGGGGCCAGCTTGCAGTCCCTTCCCTCTTGGAGCTCCTTCACCAGGAAGCCCCGAGTCCACTACCGTCCACGCAGCCCCGCGCAGGATTCGGGGCGCAGGAGTGGGCCCCGGGCGCTGCGTTTGGGCACAGCCTGCCTACGGCGCTCGCGCGCGGCCCGACCCTCTGAGCGCACTGCTGGGAACAGGAAAGCTTTCCTGGATTCAAAACCCCAAGAGAAAGTACTGGTTCCTCGGTGTGCCCGGAGTTTGGTGGGGAGCCACCAACTCCGAGGCTCGCACGGCTTCCCGGTTTTGGAGCACCTGCCCTGTGAGCCAAGACCAAGATGATAGGGTGCCGGGCCTGGTAGGGGCCCCGAGCGGGGGTCTGCGTTCTGTCCCACCCATCGAAGGAGCTACGACGCATCCCACCGCCAAAAAACTTCAGACCTTCAAGAGGGTCCTTGGTAAAGGTCAGGAGCATCTGCAACAGAAAAGGGGGTCGCAGGCTGCGTCCTCCAAGCGCAGGGGAGGGAGGCAGGTGCCGGGTCATTGTCGGGCCGTGAGTTCTCTGAGCAGCCGGCTCTTCTGGGGCGCGACGGTGAGGTCCCAAGAACGGAGATCTTAGCGCCGGGCCAGCCTGCCACGGCGTCTCACTTCCCGGCACCCACTTCTAAATCTGGCGCCCCACAGTCCCACAGCCCTACACCCCGAGGAAGCCCCAATACCCCGTGCCCTGCGTCCACTGAGGCTGCCCTCCAACCCTGCGCTTGGGCGAAGCTGTGGTCCTCCCAGCAAGCGGGTTTGCACGGCACCTGGAGGATTCAGGCTCCTAAAAGAGGTGTGGTTTTGTGCAACCGGGATGTTTGGAGGATCCCACCCTCGGATTGCAGGCACCGGGACTGGAGGAGGGTACGGAGGAGGAGGGACAGGAGGACTCACGGGAGGACTCTTGAGATCCACCGCAGCCGTGAGTGAGAGTGCCGGGATACACCATGGCCGCGTCTCAAACCGGCCTCTCCATTCCAACTACCTCCGACCCCCACGACTGCTCGCCCAACAATCCTCGCTCCGTGAGCTGAAGCGCCCGCCGCAGCCATGATTCCCCCAAACCTCCGCTGCGCTGGGTCCGGCAGTAAGGAGCCCAGGCTGTGAGCCGTGTTCCCACCGCCGCCCTGGGCGAGGCCTGGCAGTTCCTGGGCTCCCGGCCCACTCGCTCCGCGCGGCCCGCCCGTCCCCGAGGCCTCTGGCTCCTCCGGGTAAGGCGCCAATCTCCTTGCGCTCCCGCGTTACCAGGAGAGAAAGGGCAGAAGGGTCACTTCCGAGCCTTTCTCTCGACCCTCCCGGAGGTGGGTGGTGGTGGGGGGTGTTCTTCTCTGGCCTCCCCCAGCTAGGCTCTCGGGCCGGCTACGTGGGAAGGGAGAGAGCGCGGGTCCAGCGCGGGCTCGGAGGACTCGGTCTCCCCCGGCCTGGCCCTTAGCCGGAGGGACGCGCCACCTCTCCTGCCCCGGAGCCACAGAGGAGGTCGCGGCACCCTCCCCTCCTCCCTTCCACCTTCGCTCCTCCCCGCTGCCCTTCAGAGCTCCCAGGTCCCGAGACCCGCTCGCAGTCCCCGCCGCGTCCTGTGCGCTCACCGGGACTTCCTCGAGCTCGGGCGCGCGCCTCCTCTCCTGGGAGGGTCCCTGGAGGCAGCGACTCTGAGGCGCGCCTGTGACTCCGGGGCCGCCGCCGAGTCCAGAGGCGAGGTTCGCCGCCCCCGCCCCCGCCGCGGTCCCTCCCCCCCCCCCAGAACCCCCCTCCCCGGGACGCGGCGCCTGAGTGCTCCGCCCGAAGGCGGGTCCGCCATAAACAAACGCGGCTCCACCGCACGTGGACCTCGGAGCTGCTGCGCCGACCAGACAGATCGAGGGCTTCGGGCGCTGTCTCCGGGCACAGGAACCCTGCAGGGAGGGCAGGAGAGCGCGCCGGGCCCGGCCCCAGCCGCCTCCGGCCCGGCCCCAGCCGCCTCCGCCCGGGCCGCCCTCCGCTCGCCTCCCGCTCCATGGCTCCGCGGCCGCCGCCGCCCTTGCCGCCCTCCAGCCCGGAGGGGCCTCGGGACAGCGGGTACGAGTACTCGGTCAAGGACTAATTAGCACCGCCGCCTCCGCGCCAGCCCCTCTCCATCTCCCACGGAAAGCCGAAGCGCGGGGGAAAGCGGAGAGGAGGGAAGAGCGAGAAGCCAGTGGGAGTCGGGCTCTGGTCGCCGCGGGACAGTCGAGCCCGGAGGAGGCTGCGCCTGGCGCGGCGGCGGGAGAGCGCGGGCGGCGCCGCTGCTTGTGCCGAGCTCCCGGGCCGCGGCTGCGGAGAAGGTCCCGGTGCCCCGACCTGCCCGGCGCACCTGCCCGCGGCCGGGCCTCAGACTCACCTGGCCCCGGCACCTCCTTCCCCGTCGCCGCCGCTGCAGCCAGAGCGGGGCTCCCGTGGGCCTGGAGCACGGCCGGGTCTAATATGCCCGGAGCCGAGGCGCGATGAAGGAGAAGTCCAAGAATGCGGCCAAGACCAGGAGGGAGAAGGAAAATGGCGAGTTTTATGAGCTGGCCAAGCTGCTCCCGCTGCCGTCGGCCATCACCTCGCAGCTGGACAAGGCGTCCATCATCCGACTTACCACCAGCTACCTGAAGATGCGCGCCGTCTTTCCCGAAGGTGAGGCCGCAGTGGGTGGGGGGAAGCTGGGAAGCCCGGCTGCCTGGGCCCCGAGCTGGTCCGTAGGGCCGTTTCATCCTCCCAGCAGCCCCAGGGAGTCTTGGGGTGGCAGTGTCAGGGACCTTTGGCTCCTGCTCGAGAAAGGGGACAAGGCCTTGGAGCTCCAGAGACCAAACCATCTCCTGGCCCAGGGTTGAGCTGGGAGCACCAAGAATTGATCTATGAGTGTGCTATTGCATTCTGGCTGACCTTCATTCCTTCCTCCTTTTCTTTCTTCATTTAATTCCCTTTTACTTTTTTCTTCTTTCATTTCTGTCTGTCTTTCCTTGAAGGGGGAGCATGTGCACCCCTGCAGAGAGTGAAGGGAGCTTGCCACTCCCAGCACGTCTCCCAGAATGGAGTGCGCCCAGCGGCCTGTAGGCCCCAGCGCCCTAAGAGCATTTGTGGGCCGCCAGGCCTGAGACTGGGGCCTCTCAGGCCGCCCCTTCTCTGCTCACCTTCCTTGGGCCTGGGCCTGGGAGGTCAGGGTAGAGAGAGGGCAATTGTTGCGCTCAGACTCGGCAGGAGAGAGGGAGTCGATTAGTTCGAAAATGGCAGGCCGGCCTAGGCACAGTCTCTCCCCCTTCCCCCCATTAGAATTAAAAACCCAGAGGGGCAGGTGCCATGGTGGGCAAGGGTCTCCCACATCCATGGGTCCAGGACACTCACAGTTGTAAGAAATGGTGGGACGCTTTGGCCTGCATTCCCTGCCAGCACTGGGCCTGAGGGTGACCAGGTGACCATGGCAGCCAGACGGGGCACCCGGGCACTGCAGGACTGGTCACCATAACATTTGCTTTTGGCGTCCCTGTGGTTCTGAACCAGTCCCCCTGCAGCATCTCTGTCCCCTGTGGGAGTTGGGGGGGGGGTGTCTATCACCAGAGATCCTGACACTTGGCTTGATGGGTGCCCCAAGACCTCCAGGTGGCAAAGCATCCACAGGGCTGTGCCACCTCTGGAGCCCCAGAAGCCTGTGCCCGAGTAGGGGTACAACCTCAGCGGCAGGGCACTAGAGGGTCTCTGCAGTGCGGTGACAGGTGTCCTCCAACACCCCAAGGCTCCCCCATTGAGGCAGTCTCCAGCCAGGTGATGGGCCCAAAGTCCCTACGCTCAAATTTGCAGTGCTAAGCTTGTTCTAATCATCTTTGTGTCTGGAGCTGCACTTCACACGGCCTCCCGCCTCACGGGTGGAGCAATGAGGGCCTGTTGGCCAGCTTGACGTCCAGCTTACAGTGTGGCTGGCCTGGGAGCTGAGGGGGCCGAAGCAGTGGCCTGGCCTCACTGGTGCCTCCCAGCTGGGCTGTGCAGCCACCACCGGGCGCTTTCCTCCAGGTAGCAGAAGCCCATGACCTGCCCACCGGAGCCCAGCATACACTCTTTCTCTTTCCAACCCTGATCAAATGAGGAGCTGTTGGGCAGTCGTGGCTATTTGCCCGCCCAAGGACGACCCCTCCACCCAGGAAGCAGAGGTTTCTTCTGCATCTGAAGTTTCAGTGAAATTAAAAGAGAATTGGGTTTTACACTGGCCAAATGCTTCGCACCCTGGAAGGAGTGATGGTAACTGGTGTGTTCCCATGTTCTGTCTCTTTATCCGAATGCTACAAGGTAGGTGTGGACTCAGGCAAGACGCCCACCTCCCCTGCTCCCATTGAAAATAACATACAAAGAAACAATCCAACGTTTACATGATTAGTTGCTGATGATTTCAAACAAGCTAGAAGTTAGGTAGAAAAGGAGTCTGAAGAAAGAGGGCTAATTGTAAGCCATATGTTGTTTGGGGGATTTCCAGGAACGCCTGCTAAAAATTAGGAAGTTGTGGATATACTGCTTCTGCAGATATTTAAACTGGGTCTGTGCATTCCAGTTCTGGAAAGCCAGTCTCTAGGAGTTTAGGTCCAGAATTGCTTGGCTCTGAGCCTGTTGCAAGAGTTGGGGGTCTGGACCTTGAGCACCGGCCCCTGTGCTTTTCAGTAGTGGCCTGGCTGAGGGGTGGCCTATGCGTCTGCAGGGGTGATCGTGGAACTCCACGAGTATCTGGGGGGGAGCTGTTTGGCCTTAGAGTTTTGGACCAGCTCGGCAGCAATCGATCCTGGATAGAGCATGGGGAGGAGGCGGTGGTTCTGACCCCAAGTTTCCTGCAGAACTGGAGTGAGGGCGCTGGCCTGGAGGGGTAGACAAGCAGCCTCTGGACTTGCCTTTGCACCCAGAGGCCCCTGGCCTGCAGCTTTGGGCAGCTGCACTGTTTTCCCTCAAATCAGTTTTGGGGCAAAGAGCTGTGACACTGGGTGCCAGGGGAAGAGAAAATGATTCGTTTAGAAAGTGCTCAATTATCCAAAATTACTTGCTCACCCCTTCAGTAGCTCCCAAGGGCAGGGCGAGAAAGAGGCACTGTAATTGGTTTAACCTGTTCTGGGGACTCAGATCTGTGTTTGGGGGTGTAGTGCAGGATTGGGAGGGGGCTGAGAGACCCACCAGGGTCAGGGTGCGGGTGTCAGGCAGGTTTTAGAGCCAAAGCCATCCTGGGCGGTGGCTGGCGCCCGGATTTACCGGGCTTTTGGCCTCTGATGGGAAAATGCCCAGCAGAATCCACATGCCAAGCACTGCCTTGCTGTTCTGCAGCCTTGGAGCAGGCAGGGTCTCTGCGCAAAGAAGTATCTAGGACTTTGGGAGTCAGAGAAAGAATAGTCGAATCGGAAGGAACCACAGAAATCACCGGAGGAACGCTTCGTACTTGGGTTTTCCCCCAAGGTCCACAGCAAGGGCAAGAGAGAGCCTGTGAGCCTAGGCTCTCCTGCTGAAGGGGCCTCTGCCTCGGCTCCTTTCCTTCTGAGCCCCCGAGTGGGCGGGGAGAACGAGACCAGCGGGCCCAGAGGGAGGCCAAAGGAGCCAAGGTGGATACTCCTGCCTGGGATGGCCTAGGCTCGGGGCTGCTGGCAGTTTTTACAGCCTTTCAAGGCTCTGCTCGGTCAAGCTGCCCCAGGAGACCTCAGTCTCCTGGCCTGTGAAATGGGCCCATTAGCAACTCCATGGCTGCACAGCATTCCTGAGATCAGTGTGAGGAGCCTGGCCATGCAGGTGGAAATCTAACCTGTTCTTACTCCAGACTGCTTCCTGCAAGCTCACTGCGTGTCCCCAGCCACACACTGTTCCACAGCACAGTGCCTCACTCTGTGGACTGCGGGGACTGGCAAGACCCACTGTTTTCTGGATCCCCACATTTTCTCCCCTTTAACAGTAAACTAAGAATAAGAGGTGGACTTTGGGAGTGAAAGGGTGGTTGGAGAGGCGGGGGACACGGGGGCTCAGGGAGGCACTGGGGCGGTGGGCCTGCCCCTCTCTTTGCAGTGTGGTCTTTCCTTCAGGAGAGGGGTGCTTTGGAATACAGGAGCACCCAGGGGCAGTGAACTCTGCCGCGCTGTCCACAGCAGCTGCCGGTGACCCAGGGCCAGCTCTGCCATCCTGTGCTCTATACTGGGCTTCGGGAGGGACGTCAGGCAGAGTCAGAGCTGCAGGAACTCCCTGGCCAACCTCGAGGGTTAGGCCCCTTCCCTGGAGTAGAGATTTGAGCCCCAGCGGAGGGGCAGAGCCTGCAGTTCCCCTTGGGTCCTTGCGCAAGAAGGACTGGCCGGAGGAACTGGCGAGAGATGCCAATTCAGGAATGGAATTGGAAACTGAGGCTGACTGTAAAAAGGCAAACAGAGCCCACCCCACCCCTCCGTCCCCAGACCTGAAGACCCAAGACAGGATTGGGTGAAAGATGAGGAAGGAACTGGAACATTTATCTCAGCCTTTTACCTAAAAGAACGTAAACCTCATCCACACACAAGAAAAGTAGGGTTGGCGGCCTGACTTATTCCAGTGGTGGCACTTGTCTGCGTTTAGATTTAGGCAGAGCCTCCCGCCCCCTACACACACACACACACACACACACACACACATACACACACGGGAGCACCCTGGGGAGGAGGGATGCTGTCCTAAAAATTGTTGTCGGGAATCTACAAGTTTTGGTTCAGAGGGTTTGGTGGGGTTAGACACCACTAAACAGACGGGGACAGAGCCGGGCCTTTCTATACGGCTGCCTGAAGTCATGTAGATTTTTTAAAAAGCAGACTTATTTATTAGAACGCGGATTTTTGCAACCCTCTCCCATCTCTACTTGGAAGCCTGCCAGGCTGTGCACCAGGTCCGGGAAGGACCTGGAGGGAAAGCTCACGTTGCGGAACAGGACGCTCCCAGCCCTGGTGAAAGGCGATCTGGGGACTGGGGCCCTGGCCGCTGGAGGGGAGGAACGGGAGCGCACACGCTGCGTCTTCAGTTCCCGGTGGTGGTGGTGCTGTGTGGTGGCCAGGGTTCCATCCCATCCATCCTTCAAGGTCTGAGAATCAGGTGTTGGGTCGAGGAGGGCGGTCCTGTGTCTGTTGTCTGAGCACAGACAACACTGGCATGGGGCAAGGCCAAACTGGATGCCTCCTTCCCTGCTCTACCCCTCTGCGCTTGTGTGGCCTTCTTGGGTCACCCCTACCAACCACCCCCTTCACAGCCTGTCTCTGGCCCACTGTACAACTGATGGTTTGGAGCAAGGCTGAGCTCTTCAGGGGCACCAGAGAGGTGCAGCGTCCCAAGGCAGGGGAAAGACGAAGTGTGTGGAGGGGTCCCACAGCCATGAGGATTGCCTGGTGTCCAGAGTCACCAGCTCTGGGCTCTCCAGGAGCAGGAAGGTGGGTTGGCCCCAAGCTCTTCACATTACAATCTCCCAAGGGCTTGGTGCCAGCAACCCCTGAGCCCGCTGCCTGAGGTTGCTAGTGCCCTGAATGTGTGTGTGTGTAAGTGTGTTGGGGGGTGTTGGCAGGAATTAGATGCTGGCTCCCTTGCTTGGGGAGAGGGGAGAGAGCATCGAGAAGAGGGCCCAGCAGCCGTGGGGTCCTTCCCCTCCCCTCGACTTTGGAGTGGTTTGCAGTGGGGAGTGTGACCTTGTGTCCTGACATGGCCCACAACCACAGAGAGATCAAGCTCCCCAATATCATGTCTCCTCTCCTGCGAGGGGACAGTATTTGGGGGAGGCAGAGGAGAAGGCTAGAGGCAGGGAAGGAGTGGGAGAGCAAGAGAAGGTAAGACCAAGGTGGTGGCAGCCACAGCAAGTACCCCCGCCTTCCACTGAGTTCAGTTCATTCAGTCCCCAGACAAACCCATTTCAGAGGTGAGAAATAAAGGTTGGTGGTCAGGGTGCTTGCTGGAGATCAGACTGTCCAGACTGGCCCAGCAGCATCTTCAAACGAGGGAGGAGGAGGCAGGGAGAGGTGAAACCCCAGAGTGTCCCTGAGGGGTGGGGTGGGGGTGGGGTGAGGAGGGCTCCTGAAGGTCTGCCCCGGTTTTCCCCAATTCCACGTCCAGCTTTCTGTGGAGGGTTAGGGGTGGGGTCAGGACCCTGTTATTAACCCCATTTAATTACCACAAGATCCTTGTGAGCAGTGTTTTTGTGACCAGCTTTGACACCCAAGGTTGTCCTTGGGGAAGGGAGAGAATCACTGACCATCCTGGGAGTTCTTACCAAGGTCCGGACCATTTCTCTGGGGCTGCACCCAGTGGTCACTGGCCACAGTGAGCTGTTCCTGGGTCCAGAGGAAAGCAAACCAGCTGCCTCTAGTAGGTCTCAACTCATGTGTCCCCTCCTGGGAGAACTGTGACCCTGCCTCACAGTGAAGGAACCCCTCTGCTGTGCCCCTGGAGGGCAGAGCTCCCAGGGGAACCCAGGCACAGCAAGCACTAAGAGCTGGTTGATGACTGACTAACGAGCGCCCAGGGATGAGGGACCCTATTTAGATAGCTTCAGTGGCAGGAGGGCCTGCTGCGTTTTAACTGACCAGCCAGCCAGGTGAGTGCCAAGGTGCAGGGTTGTTCCGACAACCCTGGAAGTCGGAAGGGAAAGAGGCTACCTTGCTCCTTTTCCCTCTGACCAGGTGGCTGACACCCACCCCCATGACCTGGCCATCTGGATTCCCAGTGGCAAGGAGTCCCCAGAGGATTCCCCTGCTGTAGGGCAAGTGGGACCCAAACCTTGGTGACTGGGGAGCCACAGGCTGGGCGTGGGACTCCGGCTGCTGCCCTGCAGTCCCTGAGCCGGAGGGCTCCCGGGTTTAGGCAGGACAGACGGCCAAAAGTTAATACCCTTGGAAGAGCTTAGCCCAGTGTTTTCTTCAACTCCGCCCCTCACTTTTCAAACAAAGTCCTTTGTTAGGTCCAGATAAGGGCCACACACACAGCGCCGCACTTTTGGGGAGCATAGTGGTTACAAACCTTAATTTATTTAGTCTCTGCCTTCTGCCCAAAGTCGATTTTTATGAGCCAAGTAAAAAGACCTCACCCACAGCGGTTTCTAATGGAAGAGCTGGAAGTGCTGTCACCCCAGGGTGGGGTGACATGGGTAGGATGCTTGAGGGGAACTTCTTGCCACCCCCACTCACACCCCCATCTCTGCCACCAGGTCTAGAAGGAGCATTCTGATCAAATCTCCTCCCCAAAAACGGAATCTTTGGGAAAATATGGGGAAAATTATAATGATGTAAGAGAACAGGCTCTTTCCAAGTAGCTGGGTATTGGACTTATGCGGAAATTGCCCCATGCACCCAGCGCACACTGAGGCCAGAGCCTCCGCGAGGCTGTTCAGAGGGCTGGGAAGGGGAGTCTAGTGTGGGGATCGTTCCCAATGGTGCAGATTTTCCCAGCTCCCTTGGCAAGGACCCTTCCAGAGACCAATGCCAGGAGGCCATGATCACTTTCCCGGCTGAGCCAGGAAGGGTGGTTTGGCCCAAACCCGGGACAGCACCCAGAGTAGGGTAAAGGACAGTTATCAGAGTGTATCTGTCCAATTTCCGAAATCAGAATTCCTGGGTCTTTATTAAATTATTTCTTTATTCAAAGCCTCAGGGCCTTTAAATTTTGGTTCTTTCTAGTTCTAGTTAAATGGAGTAAACACTGGCACTGCCCGCCGACTGCCTGTTGGGGAGTGAGGACCCGAGTGAGAGGCAGTGGCATCCTGCTGTGGCCACTGGTCCTCCCTGGGAGCGGGGTGGAGGGCAGTGAATTCCTGAGGTTAAAGAGACAACTTTGTCCACATGGTGGAGGCTGAGGGGTCGTGATCACATTTTGGAGATTGGGATATTTGGGAATGAGCTACTTCCTTCTGGGGAGGCAAAGATGTGTCCCTGATTTCTAGAACCCAGTTGGAGAAATAAAAGATAATCCTCCCCTTTTTTGCGGAACAAAGTTCACTGAGAAGGGTCCCCAAAGCCTGGGGGGGCGGGGCAGGGCTCCTGAGGTGCTCCAGGTCAGGGTGGCTACCTTGCCCTGGGCCGGGGGTTCCACCTCCTGGGGTCAAAGCCACCAGAGACGCGAAGCCCCGGTTCCCTTCGGGACAGTGGGGAGACCCCAAGTGCCTGCCCTGCGACTCTCTTCATTTGCCACCGCGCTTAGAGGGGCTTTGGGATCCCAGGAACAGTCTTCGCGGTGGCTGGCCAAGGTTCAGCGAGTCCGAGTCTGGCCTCGTCCGGCGCTCCGGATGCGCAGCGGCAGGGCGCCGGTCTGACCTGCAGTTCACCGCTGGGGGAAGGCGGAGGCGCCAAGGGGACCCACAGCCCACCCCACACGGGCCGGTGGTTGGGGGTGAGCGGCGCAAGAGGGGGCCTGGGGCCTGGAGCCTGGGAGCGCGTTTTCCACCAAAGGGAATGGGGCACAGACCGAGACAGCGGTCACAGCCTTCGCCACTGCGCCTCGGGCGCCGCAGCGCTAACTGGAGGATCCTGGCCCGACCCCCCGCGGAAGGCTCCAGGGACCGACTGTGTGTTCTACCAGGTGGCGCTTATGCCGCAACCTCACCTGGCTCCTCTGCCTCCGCCGGAGAACGCAGAGGAAAGCCTGGATCGCCCGGGTCCCAGCCGCTGAGCCCAGGGCAACGAAGAGCAAGGTCCTGCTGGGAAGGGTGGTCTTTCCTCGGGTGCTCTCTGCAGCGCTGGTGGCCGTCGGGAGGTGGCCGTCGAGAGGAGCAGGAGGCCTGGGGGGGGGGGGGATTTGTTAGGAAAATGAGGGGCTGCGGGACCCTAACTACGTGACAACAGACGCCTCCCGGTTACCTGCGAGCGTAGATGGGGCTCTCACCGCCTTTGATCTATCACTGTTCCCCCCGGGAGCCCCCAGGTAAACCCTTCCCACGCCTCAGTTCCTGGATTGGAAGCGGAGGGAGCTCCTGGGGGCGCCCTGAGGTTGAAAAGGATTTTTACTCTATTTTACTTTTAATGCAGGAAAATCTGCCTCCTGGGCGGCGCGGGTGTTTTTTCTGGGTTTCTCTGTCTTTGGGAAAATGCACGGTTGCCTGAGGCAGGATCTTTGGGGGAATATTTATGGGTCAAATCAGTATCCCCGTTCGGCTACGAGGATGGCCTATTTCAGCAAAGCAGATTAGATTACTTTGTGGCGTTTCAAATAATAAAACGGCTGTTTCCGAGTCGTGAGCACGTGGGCGACCCACGCGAGCGGTGGGCCCAGTGGGTTCCGGGCGTGCGGGGCGCCTGGAGCCCAGGCCGCGGCGGGAATTCCGGTTCTGGCCTTTTTCTTTTTAACTGGGGGCCGAGGGACGCTCGCGCCTCTGGGCGGCCGGGCCGGGCGACGGGTTTCCCGCGCCCTGCTGGGCGCCCGGGCTCTGGCTGGGCGCTGCCTTGACTGATTCGTTTTATTCCAATGCCCAGGTTTAGGAGACGCGTGGGGACAGCCGAGCCGAGCCGGGCCCCTAGACAGTGTCGCCAAGGAGCTGGGGTCGCACTTGCTGCAGGTAAGGCCGCCGGGCTGAAGGGGGAGGTCGCGGCTGCCGACAGCGCCTGTCAGCGCCTGGGTGGCGCTCCCTAGGGACCCGGACGCCGCGGTCTCGAGGTTCCCCTCCTGCAAGAGTACCGAGGGGATCCATAGGCCGCCAACAGGCTGCAGAGGTCGCCCCGAGGCCCCGCAACCAAGGCCCCGACCGGGTGGACTCGTCTCAGCTAGAGTCACGCCCGGCCTACCCCGCGCCTGGCCGCCCCTCAGCCCCAGGACTCTAGCCCCGGGGTCCTCGGCCGTTGGGCGCCCCTGGGCCTGGTTAAGCTCTTTCCAGCCTTTACTTCCCCCAGCAAACTTTATGGAGCGCTCGCCCTGAACCCTAGTGGGGCAGCTCCAACGCGTTTGACACTCGGGTCTGTTTGGACGGGTCGTAAGAAAGGAGACACAGCATCACTAAGAGAATATTAACAGCTGGTATTTATTGAGCGTGTACTACGGGCCCGATTCTGTTCTAAATCTTACGGTATCAACCGGCTTCACCACCACCTAGAATGGGTTCTGTTCTTAAGTCCATTTTTTAGAGGAGGAAGTTGAGGCCCAGAGAGGTTAAGCAGCATGCCTGGGGTCACACAGCAAGCGGTGGAGCCGGGTTCCATCCAAAAGGTCCAGCACTTGAGCCTTCGGCTCACGACGTGGTGCGGCCTCCGGAGTCCTGGCTTGGTTTGTGGTCAGCCACTTAGCGCCCCCAGCCCGGAGCCATTCAGCCCTCAGCTGTTAAACGCCCCCGACCTCGGGTTTCCCCGGCAGGGTCCGGGGCGCGCGTGCCGGGTAACCGTGCGCAAGACTCGCCAGTTCCAGGGCCAGTTCCAAGTGGTGGCTGGCGCTAGGTGGGGACAGCAATGCCTCGCGTTTCAGGGTCTCTCAAATGCCCTTTACAGAGCCTTATCAACGACCCGATTCATTCCCCCCTCCCGTCATTTGTCTCTGCCATCGAAAAATGCCTACCGAGAGCTATTTTGCATTTCCTTCTTCTATTTTGTGTTTTCTTTAAAAGAAAAAAAAAAAAATTGGCGGCGGGACGCAGTGATTTGGGTCAGAGTCAGCCACGAACTCCGCATTTCGAAAAAGCAGATCTTTTCAAAACTCTTTTGCCCCGAATGCCCCAGTGTGATTTATTTTTTAAAATGCGTGCTCTGGGGAAGAGCAGATCCGGGGCATATTTGAAACCTGAAGCTTTTCCAGCGGAAAGCGAACGGGGTGGCAGCCCCGCGGGTAATGGTGCTCTTGGAGCCCTGCCCGCTGGCCCTGCCCGCCCGCCAGGCGCACCTCCAGCTCCGAGCGCGGCGTGTTGCATGTTAGATACTCCTACATATTATAAGTGACACTAATATCAGGGACGACTAAGTGCCTGGGAACTCCAGTAAAAACCTGGCGGCAAAGTCAGCATCCTCCGCTCGTCCACTGAACATTTCTTTAATTAATCCCGCAGCGGTGTGCGGAAGAGTTCATTTGCAGTTAATACACGTACAAGCAAAACCTGAAGCTATGAAGGCGTACCCAGCATTTTCCATTAAGGATATTATTTTTAGCTACTGCTGGCAACTCGCAGAATTTACTATGATAATTTTTCTTTTACTCATATGGCTCACTGTCAGAGGCTATTTCATTAATGTATCTCTTTAAGGGTTTTGGAGTTGAGCAAGAATGCAAAATGTGCCAAAACATTAACAGCTTTCGAAATTGCTGTGTAGTTTGTATTTTTGAAACGGAGTTTAGCTGGGAAAATATTTTGTAGCTGAGTTAGAAACGTGAAAGTATGGCTTCTAATCAAGATGTTGATTTCCACCTCAGCACAGGGAAAGGTAATGATAGTTTGGTTGGCAAAGGATTTTTGCAGCAAAATCCTACTTGGGAGAATATAATGTAAGGGCATCTTTCAAGTTTCGTTTCTGCTACATTCTTTTTTAGGCCCCCCTCCAAAGAGGGGGCGGATTTAGAAAAACCAAAGGTAATCTGGTTTCAATTACATGTTGTAAAAATAGAATTTGTGGCCAGAAATTAATTTGGAATATTTTTTTACGGGGGCAGCATTGTGGGTTGTATGGATCTTTCACCAATTTTATTGCTTTTCTTTGGTCCCAGATCTAAAATATGAATGGGTAAATAAAATGCAGTTTCCTTTTTCAAAAATAATTTAGTCCTTTTTCCTTGCCATGCATAAATATACTGAGTACCTTTTTATTTGTCTTAATTACCTCTCATAATTTTACTTTATTTTTTTTGAGGGCTGGCCAACTTCGGCAAAATCAGAATATCATGTATGTTGTTTTAATTTTTCAGAAATTGATACTTTTTCTCCTTGAATTTTGCAAAGGTTATTTGAAATAATTAATTCTGTAGACATAGTCTGTTCAAATAACCCGGTATTTTCTTTTCTGGGGAGTGGTAGTGTTCGGAATTTATTATTCAAATGGTACTTAGGGGTAACTAGAAAATCGTGGCAAATAAAGTGTATGTCCTAGTGGTATAAACACTGCCAATTATGACATAAAATGGTCTATATAGTGGTAGATTGTCCCCTAAGTACCATAGAACTCCGGATTTGTGCTAAGTGCTAAAATAACCCCAAACAATAAAGCTACTACATTTAAACTGGGTATGATAGGAATTCTCAAATGTTTTGCATGATTTTTGCGATGTGCATGTCAGACTGTTTTTACAGTGCTTTAAAAGCATTTGAAAGCCTGGTGCGGGAACTAAACCTTGAGTGGTGTAACTTACAACCCTTATGGTGCTGGGCTCTGTTTTTTGCATTTGACAAATGCGTGTTGGTAATAATATTTTATACAGTCCTCTATCCCAGCGAGAGTACAATTATTCGATTTAAGTCTAATGTATAACTATCATCTCTTACCATGACACTTTTTCTTTTCCAGACTTTGGATGGATTTGTTTTTGTGGTAGCATCTGATGGCAAAATCATGTATATCTCGGAAACAGCCTCTGTCCATTTAGGCTTGTCCCAGGTAAGTAGTACCTAATTTTATGTGCAACTTAAATATTATATGTTGGTGGATCTTGGCAGCCTTACCCAAGCAGGGTGTTCAAGCATCTGCTTTTGTGAAGGAGCGTAATCCAAAATTGCAAAATCCTCTCCTTAGGCTGTCCCGCGGGGCTTTTCTTCTCCGTGTTACATTTCACTTTTTTACTTTCTTTTTCCTTTGGGGTTAATGACCAGTATGTCTTTGCAACAGCCAGCCTTGTTCTGAGGTTGTGTTCAATAGCCTGGACTCTGCTGATACAGTAAGACTCCGTCACTACCAGGAGCTTCACAAAGGGGGACTTTTCTGACCGTGGTTGATGGCCTGCACGTGGTGTTGTGCGTTGCTAGGAAAGCTGATGGGGAACGTGGATTTTATGCAGAATGTGCTTTGGGGAGGGCGAAAGAAGGGGGTAGATTTATGAGTGTTCACATGGAATTCAGGGTAATTTTTCCTGAGTTTTTCCAGTTCAGTGGTCGTTTCAGTAAAGCATTTTATATGCTTGTGATAGAAACTCATAAAACTCAGTTTACTACTGTTTTGCACAGCAAGGTCCTGGTTTCTTTAGAACATTTAAATATTACTGATTTTTCTGGAACCATTTTTTAAAAGGGGGTTCATCCCCTAGAGGAAAGAATTGCACTCAGCTTTATGTATCCCCATCCAGCAGAGGGTTTGCTGGAGAATTTGGCTGCAGTCTGGGCCGGTGGTGGCCAGTGGGTCCGGATGGGATGGGGGGACTCTAACTGGTCGTTGCCATTCACATTTCTGATTTAGCAGGTGTGGAACATGGCTCTCAAAGCCACTTTTTTTTTTGTTACGTATAGGGACTAAATGTTTCTTTACATTGTGAATTATCAGAGCGCTCTTTTTCATCACGCTAGAATTAATTAGATACAGGAAATGGGCTCCCTGGAGGCCCGTGAATAGTTTGTATTGCACCAGCCCCTTGTGTAGTTGAGCCAAAATAAAAATGCCAACTAATGTGGCCGGGGTTCTCACTGAAAAACAAAATCACCAGTTTGGAAATCTGCATCTGGTGTATTCCTTTTCTTTTTCTGCCTATACATTTTTTAAACCTGCAATTTATTTACAACCTTCTCTCCCAATGTGTGTCTGCCCTCATCCCCTGTGTTTTTCATGCGAAGTTCTTTAACGTGAATCTCATATTAAAGTTGTTTGGTGTTTTCTTTTCTCTTCTTTATGAAACCAGGTTGCCCAGATAAGATTTACTAAGGCTTGGCCCTTATACTACGTGACTCATAAGAGTAGTGTATTTGGAGAATGGAAAATTCTGTTGGGAACATGAAATTTACTCTTTTTTATATTTTGCAAAGTTGTTATTCTCTGAATTTTCACCTTGCCCTGTTTAGAATTATTTAAGACCCTTTAGTTGTGCCCAGCCTAGTTTCTACTCCTGGCTTGGTTTGTGGCTGATTGACCTTGATCAGAGTACTTAACCATTTCTTTTTCCTTTGGGTTTACTTAACTTTTTCAGTCATGATTTACAAAACCTTTGATTAGTCTTATAATAGTGTCACAAACAAGACAAAACATTTCACATACTTTAAAAATGACTAACCAAACATATTTTAGAATAGGCAAAGTTACTGTTCTGGAATATTAAATTTAGGTCGGAGCTTCCTAGCAGTCAAAGCAAAAAGGGAAATGCATTCGGTTACGTGGTTTTTGTTGTCTTGATAGGGCCGGTATTTCACCTCCTTGAACAATAACTTAAGAAAATAATTCCCAGGCAACCCCTCCTTCAGGATTGTGATAAGAAACAAATCAAAGTGCCCATCTTATGTGATTTATAAACTATAGGGAGCTACACAAAAGCCAGACATCATTACCATTTCATTAGTACTGTACTTCAATTAGCACAAAAGTTGATTCAGATAGCATCCATCCTCTGGTGGGCACACACAGGGCTCTTGGTCACATCGCAAGGCACTGTGGGCAGACCAGCACCTCCCAGTCGACTCAGCCAGGTTGCTCGGTCTAGCATCCCACATCCCTCTCAGTCATTTTCCTCTTTAATTAGAAATGGCCCAAATACTGGATAGGTGACAAATCTGCCTCCTGTTCACAGTTACCTCCACAAAAGGACATCTAAGCAGAATCGAAATTAAAATTACATTTACTTTTGGTCATAATGCAGAAATAAAATTTTGTGCTATAATTTTGAAAGGGGAGGGGCCGCGTTATACACTGCCATTTCCCAAGAGAGTTACCGAGATGCCTTTCGCCTATATGTTTCCAGAAGTGTCCATTAAATTAAAAGATACATCAAGCTGTGTGGGGCAACTGATTTTTATTTTTTCCCCTGATCTCTCGGCAGGACTGTGTTAGTATCAGTCTTCAGTTACAAAAACACTTGAATGCTGAAGTGAGCCTAGTCTGGGGAGTGTTCTGGTGAACTGTTTAAACAAGCGACAACAAGCACGTCCCGAGTTTGCCTCCTGCTCACGATTAGCTCTGCAGAAGGAAATCCAGGCAGAATCACAATGTGTATTTTTTTCTGTCCTCTTCATTTAAAGAGTAAAATATTGAGGAGGATGTCAAATATCCAACTTCTCTTTCCAAAAAGAGTTTTTGCTTTTAGATCTGTTAGTAGGGAAAAGTCAGGCAAATGTATCAGACATGAAAATGTTATTAAAATAGACTTAACAATTTTTTAAATCACCAGATAAAAACGTTCATAAAATCTTACCCAGTAGTCTAAGAGCAGCCTTGAAATAGGTTTCCTGATGAATAACGGTGGTAGTAATAGCTTATATTTGCACAGTGCCCTTCTGTGTTCCAAGAACTTTCAATTACTCTCAATGACATTATCTCATTAAGTAATGACATCTTTCACATTAATTCAGGGTTAAATTCTATGTTAGCAGCTCCCAGGGAACATAAGCCCCTTCCTTGGTTTGCCATAATCGTGTGATAATTCATAGCAAAGTGGTGGGTTTTTTTTCCCACCTGAACCACCATCAGAATGACCTGTTTGAGGATGTAAAAATGATTGTCATAAGCCCATCTCAGTTCAAAGCCATTTCTTAAACTTTTTTTAAAAGTTTGGAATAAGGAATCTACTTTATGTGGAGAGTTTTTAAGTTCGTTTTTACTTTTAAAGGAGTGAGCACCGCGATCCTTGCTGTCAGATGTTCACACCAAAAATGACGAGACAACCAAACAAAGAGCAAGTTCTCAGGCCACAGCCCAAGTGCTGGGGAACAGGCAGGCGCAGGCTGGGAAACCCCGTCCGGAGGATACGCACACAGAGCACACAGTGCAACATTCTTAGTGACAGACATATCTATTTGGAAGAGGTCGAGTCGAGGAAGCGCTTTTTATCATGCAAGTTCATGAAATGGTTTGAGTCCGTGTTGTTTAGGTGACTGTAACTAACCAACTTCCATTCGAAGAAGGAAGAAAGCTCTGTATACCTGTTGTATTGCCCCCAACATTTCCAAGTGTCCATGTGGTTTAAATTTCCTTCCCAAGTTGCACACATTATATAGCCTGTAGGTAGGGAACCAATATCTATTTTCAAGTGAACATCGACACGTACGCAATAGCTGCTGGGGAGACGCAGGCAGGAAACGGGGTGTTTGCGATCAGAGCACACCGTAAAAGTCGCCATGGCGTTGTTTGGGGCCATAAGACCTAATCCCTTCACTTCTGAAATAAAGAGAAAGGACAGCGTTTTATGTTTGTTGACATAACTTGAACCCTGAAACCCAAACCATCTTATTTTAAAATGCTTAATTTACCATAGTCAGCAAAATACCCAGAGCAGAGTAATGTGCGTTTTCCGAGTCCGGGGTGACTCTCCCCTTCTGACCCAGAATATATCCATTTAGTGCTGTATTTATCCCGCGTAGTTTTCTTGGCAGGAAGAAAAGCTATTCAGCAAAACATAAAAAAGCTCTTAGTAGGAAAGCAATTCATTTTGTAGTTACCAGGGTTTTACCAATGCTAAAATATCACATGGAGGGTCTGTTTTAATAAGGCTGATGTATGAGACCTGGAGAGTTTTATAGCGACGACCATAATTTTTTTGAGGCAGTCACATTTCTTCCAGTGTTCAAAAGCACGGATAGACATGTAAATACAGGAAACACCATGTCAACCGTAATTCTCAGTCAAGGTCAGCACTGTTTCATCATTCCAGAATTTGTTCTTTAAAAACATTTCCGTTATTTGAAGACTGTTTTACTTCCTCGACAGCCTTCGAGTTTTCTGACTGACCCGAACAGTCAGAAAATCAAGCCTTTAGTTCCTGGGCCTTCACTCTTCTCGTTCTCCAAACGCAGAGGAGGAGAAGGACCCTAAGGAAACAGGGGGAGCCCTTTGGGGTTACGGCGCCGATGAGTCCCTGTCCGCACAGACGCAGGTCTTTGTGCAAGTACGTGAAGCTGTTTCTCTAAAAAGACACCAGTTACTTTCTTCTAAATAAGAACTCGGAGCAAACCAGAATGATCATTTCCCCCCATTAAAAATAAAGGTAGGGAGAAATGATAGGCCAACACCAAAAAATTAATTTTTTTTTCATTTTCGAAGTAAGCCATGAAAATTGGGAATCAATTAAGAATAAATAACAACTCCCTTATTACTGGCCTGTATCGCTGTCCACCTGACAGTTCCCAGGAATCTCTGACTGCCCTCAGGAAGAGAGAGTGTCCTGTCCCAAGTGGCTGGCCGAAATGTTCCCAGTTCATTTAAATGTCAGGATTACCAGGAATGACTTGAAGGAAGTTTTGTTTTTATTGCTTATTTTTAAAAATGAAATCACGTAATAACTTCCTACCGTGGCAAATATCCATTGGGTCACGAGGACAATGCCAGGTTGGGAGGGGACAGGGAGGACTGTAACAGGATTCTCTCCGTTGCTGTTTGCATAATATTGGAAAGAAAGATTCTATGAATAATGCAGAAAATAGAACTGTGAACAGCGCCAGGTCGGGGACAAGATTACTTAGCAGGCCAGAAATGTAATTTGTTTGGAATACAAAGGCATCTCACGCTTCTTAACAAATTGGAAGGCCTGGCTCAGAGGAGTGGGACGAATGACTTCACCTCTCCATGGCCCCTTGGTCCCCGGTGAAGAGCTGATGGCCTCGATGCTAATTTGGAACGAAATTCGCCATTAAACCCTTCAGCCGAGATTGTTCAGTTGCGTGAGGTGGCACAGCCAGGGCTGCCCATTACCGGAGCTCACGTCCTCTCTGCTCTAATTGAGAGCAATGAGGCTCCCAGCAAAACCCTCGGCAGGGCTCACGCAGACATAAACAACAAGGGGTGGCTGGGGACAGGGCACTCACCAGCCTCCGGCCCTGCCCGGAGCTCGCCCTCTCCCCTTGGAGCAGGCTCAGCAAGAGTTCTGCACACCCACCAAGGGTCTTGGCCACCCTGGAAGGACCATCACTGCCCTGGGGGACCCCCTGATCAATAGCGGGTGCACTGACTCACAGTCCTCATCTCTAAAGTAGGACCCACACCTCTGCTCAGAAGGCTGCTCTGACGGTGGAAGTTTCTAGAATAGGGTGTGCCACAGCCCATTTCAAGGTGGGCGAGGGGGACCAGGTCTTGAGACTCTCTGTCGTCCCTGTCATGGCACTTGTGTTTGGAGAACACGGAAAACTTCGCAAGGTTCAGAACAGACTCACTGGGACTTCTGTGTAAAGATCACAATGATGGTGTTTTCCTGGACACCCTGCCCCTGTCCCTGCAAAACAGGGTCCTGTCTAACGTGGACATGGCCTCTGCGTGTCTGTCCTCTGTGGGGTGTGTCTGGAAGTAGGTGGTGTCTGAACCCAGGGTCACATAGCTCTCTGGGGTGGGCCACCCAGCCACACCCGGGGGCGGGGCCATGGGGTTAGCACAGTCATCTTGACTAGGAACCAGGCATGTCTCCCAGGGAGCGGAGCTGCCAGGAGAAAGGCCTTGTGGGGCTCAAGTCCTCCACAAGGGCAGGGGGCCATGGCCTGCCCCTCAGCCTCTGGGGACAAGGCTCTCGGGACCTCACCATGGACACGCGCTGGTCCACGGCTGACCCGTCCCCTCAGGCAGCACGGAGCGCAGGCTCCAGCCCGTTGTCTCGGTATGGAGGACGCTGACCAGACTCTCGGGGCCACCCCCCTCCATGGCACACCTTTTTCATTCTTCACTTCCAGTTCCTCCTGCTCCAACCTCTCTGTCCTTGTTGGAAAGTGTGGGAGACGGTTCGGAGAAGAAAGTGTTTCTGCACTGGGAGAAGGTGTGGATTGTCAGCCGAGATCGAAACCCTGTCCCTGGCAGGTGCACACCTGTAATACACACGTGTCCCCCTCCCCCGTAGCCCCGGAGGACTTCTGACCCTGCCCTTCCTCTGCCGCAGGTGGAGCTCACGGGCAACAGTATTTATGAGTACATCCATCCTTCTGACCACGACGAGATGACGGCTGTCCTCGCGGCCCACCAGCCTCTTCACCATCACCTGCTCCAAGGTATTTATTTCCTCCAGACGGAATAAAAAAAAGAAAAAAACAGAATAAAAACCAGGTGATGCTCTTGGATGTGACCCGAAGGTTTCACTTCCCACACTGCCCAACCAGGGCCCCCAGCACACACGCTGCACCCACCAAGTGGGGTTAACTTTAATGCCTCTGTCCTTCAAAGCAACACTACTGACCCCCATCAGGGGCTAGACACTGTGCTGGGTGCTGGGTGCTGGGTAGGGGGTAAAGGCTTCTCCCTAATGTGCTCTTGGCTTAGAGTTCCTGGATACAGGTCTGGACCTGGGCTTCTTAACTGAGGGTCCGAGGGTAAAACTTGAGTTTGCGAAATTGAATGGGGAAAATTACATTTTATTCCTCTCGTTGAAATGTAGCGCTCCCTTTGCTTCTAGATTGTAGCGGGTAAGCCACGTACTGTCGCTAAAACCTCTGCTCCTTCGCCATTCGGGGAGTTCTGAGGGCGTGCGGCTGGGTCTTGTCATGCAATGTGTTAATGAAGCAGCACATTTACAGGCGTATCACCACTTGTTCGAATATTGTAGCAACTGTTTTCAGCACATGTGTGATACATCCATTTGTAACCGCATCTATTTCTGCGTGGGGATTTATGGGTGTTGTCATGGCCCCAATCAGTTCAGGAGCCTGGTCTACACAGAGGCAGGGCCCGCTCCTGGGCCTGGCTCCATGTGGGGACATGGTCCTCCTCCTGACGGTCCCACCTGTCGCTGCACCCGTCCTGACGGGTCCCTACTGTGGTGAGCGCTGTTAGCACAGACATGGCGTGCCTGTTCTGGGAGGATGGGAGCATGTTGTCACACAGATGACCCCTTGAATGACAACTGCCATGTGTGCTTGGAAGACACCGGAGAACCTGTTCCAGGGGCCCTGGTCTTGTAACTTCCTCTGATAGTCCAGTGAGACCAACCAGTATGTTGACCAAGGGTCTCTTGTCTGCTTTGGACTGTGGTGTCCCAAAATTCCCCAGGGGGACAGAGTCTGAAGGATTTCCAGCAGAATGAGGGCCAGGAGAGAACCCTGCACCTGGAACTAGCTCTCTCACGGCGGGGTGGTCCCAAGTGGGGCAAAGCCACAGAAGTCTTAGAGAATTCCTCAGAACCTTGTGTAGTTATGGTTCCTAAAACTGACAGTGTCCACTGGTGGGTGTGGCCTTCTCCACCAGCCCCGGTGCCACCCTCCCCTCCCATGGGAGCACAGCTTCTTAAAACTAGGAAATGATGGCAAACACAGCTTGGGAACATCCGAGCCCCTCCCCCGCTCTCCGGGGCTCAGCGGCAGAGACAGTGCAAGGGGAGGAGCACCAAGGTCAGGAGGGGCGGGGTCCCCCCCACCCATCCACAGCCACTGAGTGTGCGGGACCGGGGTTCACAGCGCTCGCTGTCTTCCCCACGCCTCCAGACTTGGTTTTCTGGGTCTGAACTGGCCCTCTGTTCTACGGTAATTGGGTGAGACATGGGCTCTCCCCAAAACCTGTTAGTGATCGTGTGATGCTGCTCAGACCTAGCGGGCTTGTCTGGAAACGGGCAGAAAGGCGCCTTGCTAAAACAAGCTCTGCCTCTCGGACAGCCCTCCTGCCCGCGGCAGGGGACTGTGGGTAAATATGACAGCCTTTCCACCTGGCGAGGCCTCTCAGGTGAACCCCGTACCTGCCCCGGGCACCCCTCAGGGAGGGCGGAAGGCTGCGCTTCCTTGCCCAGAGGTAACCCTTTTTTAAAAAGTAATGTATTAACCACCACCCAGTGGCTGTTTGTTTAGAGTGGAGTGACCTCGCCCTCACCCGGGCACAGGCGCTTTGGCGTTGGTGCCTCGGAGAGCTGGTGTCCCTCACTACAGCAGAGGGCGTCTCCTTAGGGGCCTCATTTGCTGTGCAGTAGTGAGGGCGGAGGTTCGTGTGCGAGGCCCTCGGAAGAAACAGAAGGCAGGCCGTGGCCCAGCCAGAGACACAGCGACGGTGACAGGGAGGGAGGTCCATCCAGGGCTGTCACTCCGACAAAAGCTCCAATCTGGCCCAGCGGGTCTGTGGGGTTCTGTTCCCTAGTCTACACTGCTGGGCAGTCTCGGTGCCCATGGGCACGGCTGGCAGGAGGTGCCCCACAGCTGTTCCCTCTGCCAGGGAAAGGGGCTGATTCATGACTTTTACTCCGTAACTGCCACCTGAGGGGGTTGGAGGCACAGGGCCTTCCTCGCAGGCTCGGCCCTGCCCCGGGGCTGGTCGAGGTGGTTCTCCTGGCACCCAGGCCTCTGTGTGGCTACACGAGGAGGCCCTGGGCCCTCTGCACACAGTCTCACTGTGAGCCGGGTTGCTGTTTCCCAGGGTCTCGCTGTGGCCGTGTTTCAGGTTGCCTTCCTCTGGAGCACGCGGAAGCCACGCCACGGCCAGGACCCGACTGGTCTCCCAGCCCACCCGGGACCACAGGCGAAGCTCTCCGGGCTGGGATCGGGGCTGCTGGGATGAGGCCTCCGGCTGCCTGTTCTGGCCCTGAGGGGTTATTGATGTTGCTGGCATAAAGGTGGGGGGACACACGGTGGGCCAGCCGGCCAGTCTAACCCGACTCCTGCTTTCAGAGTATGAGATGGAGAGGTCGTTCTTTCTTCGAATGAAGTGTGTCTTGGCGAAAAGGAACGCGGGCCTCACGTGCAGCGGGTACAAGGTATGAGGAGCCATGGGGGGGGGGGTGACTTCACAGGTTGGTAGTTTGCTTCACAACCAAGAACGGCTGCAGAGAGGAAGACACGGGGACCCAGCGTGTCATGCTGCCTTACGTAGAACTTTCTCGGGATGTTGCTTGCGAGGCAGGTGTGAGCTGGCATCTTCCAGGAGTATTCGTCCTGTGATGTCAGGAGTCCACGTGGCTGAGGGTAGAATCTGACCTTGGCACCTGCGGGTTCCACTCGGCACACAGGTCGGTCTGGCTGGAGCAGCTGCCCTGGAGTTAACTGCGCATCCTGGTTCCAGGCAGGATCCCAGGCCGCAGTGGGCATTCGGAATGCAGTGTCACCCTCGGACTGTTCGGTCGCATCCGGTGATAACGACCGTGCTGTGCATGACAGTAGTATTACAGCCCATTCTGAGGGCAAAGGAGAGCTTCTGCCTGCAGCATCTCACCTCATTTAACAAATGAGTCCAGTTAGCTGGTCTAAGTGCGGCAGCCCTTTGATGGAGTGTGATGGGCCGGCTCTGTGATCTGGGACACCAGCTGACAAGCAGAAGGGCAGGCAGCTCAGGGCAGAGCTGGGGCCTCTGAGCCCAGCCCCCACTCCTCCCTGGCTAGTTTCTCTGCTGGACATGGCCCCTGGTTCAGGCCAGCTCCAGAATCCAGGAGAAGGTCCCCTAAAGAGCCCGCAGGCAGTACTGTGCCTCAGCATCTGTCCTCTGCGCCCTGAAAGGGCAAGTTGGGGGACATCCGAGCTGAGCCGTGCCTTGGGCCGTCCGGCCCCTCTCTGGAGCTGGAAGTGGAGGTGATGGGAGCCTGTTTGGTGGAGCATCTGAGTGTTCGAGAAGGAGGAAGGGGTGGGGTGAGGGAACGGGGACAGTCTCGTGTCCCTGTACCTTCGTTCTCTGTCTGGAATGCCCTCCCCACCTCCCATCCCAGGGTCTGCCTTCCCTCCCTCTCCTCAGGCCCCTCCTCGGAGCCGCACTCAAAGCTCTTATCTTTGACTTGAACTCACTCTGTTTTATAGTTTGGAGGATATGTTTCCCAGACTCTAGGCCTCTTTGGCCCAGGGATGGGGAACCCTCAGCACTGTCCTGCACCCACAGACACTCTTCCGGACACTTGGGTCTTGAATTGTTTTTACCACTTACAAACTGTCGAATCTTTTTTTTTATTTTTTATCCTCACCCGAGGATATTTTTCCATTTTTTGTACAGATAGAGTGGGAGGGAGAGAGAGGAAGGGAGAGAGAGAGAGAAACATCGACGTGAAGGGACACATCGAGTGCCTGCCACCCGCACGACCAACCAGGGCTGGGGACAAACTGCAACCGAAGTACGTGCCCTTAGCGGGAACCGAACCCGGGTCTCTCCGGACCGCAGGCCGACGCTCTAACCGCTGAGCCAAACTGGCCAGGGCTCTTTTTTTTTTTTTGTATGTGCCCCTAGCAGGAGCCGAACCCAGGACTCTCTGGTCCCCAGGCCGATGCTCCAACCGCTGAGCCAAACTGGCCAGGGCTGAACTGTCGACTCTTAAGCAAAACACATCACCTATCTTTTCCTCGTCAGTAAAATGGGAGAGTAGCCTAGAAGGATGTAAAGATTTTTGCAGCTGTAAGACCATGAATACACTCAGGAACCCCGGAGGAAGGCTTTTGAAAACACATTCAGTTGCTCATCACTGCTGTTGCGGTGACTGTGATCCTTTCAAGCGCGTGCCGACTGTAACTCGTACAGAGGCTTCCGATACTGAGGCTCAGGGCTGCACAAATGTTTCTGCTGGACGTTTGGAACACGGCGTTTTCTCTCGTGTGGTTTTTGGCTATGACTGTTATAAGTGTTTCTATATAGTCACCTTGGCTTTTGCTTCTTCCAAGGGGATAAAATCTTGAATTATAAATAAAATAAAATATATTTAAGATGAGGCTTTTTATGATGCTCCTGCAAGGATTCTGAACGGACTGGAGTGATATAGCTTGTCAAGTGAGATCAGTGTCAAGTTAACAGATGCCGAGTTCAGCCCCGTTGGAAGCATTATAGTTGCTGAAGTGAACATTGCGGAACGGTCCGCTCCCCCACGCACCTTTGTTGTGCCAGCTAATGAGAACTTGGCAGTGAGTTAATTATATATCAATCCATTATATAGCAGAGAGCCTTAACCTGCAGTTACGTGAACATAGTCTACTAGGGAAGACAACCCTTGTATTTTATTGTGATATTGTTTCTTAAGAAAGAAGAACAGCTCCGTTTCTCCTGAGCAGTGAACTGGGCGTTAGGCTGTGGAGCCCAGTGGAGCCAGGCGGGGGGTAGTTCAGCAGGAGGCGGGAGGAGGGGTGCCAGTCAACCCGGGGCCGCCGGCGGCTGACCCTGCCCTCATCTTCCCCAGGTCATCCACTGCAGCGGCTACTTGAAGATCAGGCAGTACATGCTGGACATGTCCCTGTACGACTCCTGCTACCAGATCGTGGGGCTGGTGGCCGTGGGCCAGTCACTGCCGCCCAGCGCCATCACTGAGATCAAGCTGCACAGTAATATGTTCATGTTCAGGGCCAGCCTCGACCTGAAGCTGATATTCCTGGATTCCAGGTGAGTTCGGCACCTGCGGCTGCTATGGAGTTCCAGAAGATACTGATGGTAAAAACTGGCCCCTGACAGCCACACTATTAAACCACGATGTGACAGGACTAAGTCATGCTAAGAATGCAGATTAGGAAGAGTTCAGTGAAACCAAGTCACGAATTGAAAGAAATGACCTCAGCCTTAGTACTCAGACGCAGCCAGCTTCTCCGGCTTCTGGGGACTTTTAGAAGCTGGTTCAGGTCTTCATCATCTCACTGAGCTTGCTCTGGGAACGTGCTGGGGGCACAGGCAGCCTCTTTCGAAGGCCCGCGTGTCCGGATTCTGCTCGCGTCGCCGCGAGTCGGGAGGTGTCTGGCTCCTGACGCAGGCTGCGGGAAGCCACCTGAGAAAGGACAGCCGCTGCAGGGCTGGGCTGGGAGCAGACAGGTGGCCTTCCCTGGAGGGAAGCTGGGACCACAGCTCGGCAGGTGCCCGCCAGGGTCTGGGCTGGAGGGCGAGGCTGCAATGGCCCGAGAGCTGGCTCTCCCCACTGTCCCTTCCTCTCCTACTTGAGACCCCCCCCCCCCCCAGAGAGAGCGGGGAGAGTGAGGGAGGAGGAGTCACTGGCTGGCTGGACCGGGTCAGAGGTCTCTGGGGGGGGGGAGGTCTGTGCCGGAGGCTTGGCCGTCCCCAGGGCGGCTGCTGGCCTCAGGAGTCTTGAGGCCTCACGTGGGGCCTCTTTGGGCTTCTGGTTTCTTATCTGTTAAAACAAACAAACATAAAAAAAACAGGCCTGCCCCACCCACAGGGCAGCTGGGAAGGAGGGAGTTAGATCACAGACGGGAGGCATTTGTCCAGGTAAAGAGCCTGCCTGATCAGCAGCGAGTCCCTGGCCTCTCGGCCTCCTAGAAGGACCTCAGCTGTGCGGACGGGATGTGTTCAGACCCCGCTCCTGCCTTGCGGTGGGCCTGGCTGAGCCTTCCCAGAGGAAGGGTATCTCTGTATTTTTATGTTTTCTGTATCTCCTGAAGCTAGGATTTACTGTTTTGTTTTGTTTTTTACTTTTTGTGATAAAATATACATAACCTAAAACTGGTCATTTTAACCACTTATTGAAGAAAAACAAATCCACCCAGTTAGGAGAAACAAGCAGTCAGATTAGTCCAGTTCGTCGTTAAAGAACCACTCAGAGGTGAACATGTGACAGGGTCGGCCTGACAGGACCACTGTGCTCCCAGGAGCTCCCAGCAGTGGGTAAAGGTGACTCCAGAGGATGTGGCACCTCATTCAATAGTCAAACACCGACAAGTGGGACCAGAGTCCAGGGCTGGCCGGGGGTCCGGGCCGAGCGTGGGGGCGGGAGCTGGCCGTGAGGCGTGAGCTCCTTGCAGATGTCAGAGTGGACGGAGGAAACCGGCTGTCCGCGTGCTTTATTCTGGAAGCGCGGGAGGGTACAGCTGGGTTCTCCCTTGTTTGTCTCCTACTTCTCTTTGACCTTTCTAGCTCCACCCCCAAGGCCTGGTGAATTCTTTGCAACAGGGAAGAGAGGGGTATCCCCAGAGGAGAGATTTCAGGTCTTCCGAAATTGTTCAACCCACATGCTCTGCAACTCCAGGGACAGATGGAGGGCTTCCCGGAAGAGGGTGGACAGGCAGATAGGAGGCCAGGGGCTGGGGCCTCCGACTGGCTTTCTCAGAAAGACCACATTAGGGTGAGGGGCCCCGCCCTGGGAGTAGGAAAGAGGTGTCGATCTGGATGGAGGAAGAGTGCAGTTCATCCTCTGAGCACCAGGAAGCCTCCAGCAAAGCCTTGACGCTGTTCCTAAACTTCGGTCACCTTGAAGGTGTTTATTGACGGGGCCAGAAATGCTCTGCGGAATTCTTCACGCTCACTCTGGTCCTGGGTCTGTGGTAGCCTGATGGTCTTTGAAAGGCCGCCTAGCCGGGGCACAGGGGCCAGCCCAGCACTGGGAGGTCGGCAGGATGGCCCGTGAGGTGGGAGACAGAGGCTCTGACGCCCAAACCCAGGAGCCCCGGTGAGGGGCTGGCCAGAAGCCCAGCAGCCCCAAGTCACAAGGGCAGTGGCCCCCCACCAGCATAATCCCAGACACAGCTGAACTCAGCATAACCTGAAATTTGGTTCGTGGGGGTTTTGTGGTATTTCACTTTGAAACCGTAGCTGGTACTTACGCCAAGGATGGGCGAATCCCTCTGACAGGTCGTCCGACACCAGAGGGTTGGAAAAAACCAGGAGGGCGTGCTGCCAAACCCTTCCCCTCCCCTTTAACTTTTAAAGCCATGTGCACTTTGATGAGAAACTTGATCCATGTGTTTCTGATTCATTTACACGTTCGGGCCGTTGCTCTGAAACTTTTCGTCTTAAGGGTCTGGGAAGCTTCTTTCATCCCACACCGGAGAGATGCCTGGTTTTCTTTTGGGGGAAGCCAGACGTCTCTGTTTTCCTGCCACATAGAGTTGAACTCTTATAGGGCCTGAGGTTCTAGGTGGCCCTTAGACAAGCCCCCAGAGCCCTGAACGGCTCTGGCCTGGGCACGTTCTCTTCCTGCCCACCCCGAGCCCCAGCTCCTTCCTGCCCGGCGGAACGCCATGGAAATGTGTACACCAAATAGTGAGCGATTCCAGGGAAACATGAGGCTCTCCAAGATTTACGACCCGAGCCCGCGCAGAACTCAGCAGAAAGGGGAGTGAGTTACGGAATGAAAGTGAGGTCAAGTTTCCCCGTTTCATTTGCAGCTAATGTTTCAGATCTGGACTGGCAGGGCTGCCAGTCCCGGCCATCCTCGCTCCCCACGGACGGCTCACCTCCTTTGGAACCCCTTCTTGTCCCCCTCTTTCATCTGTTCTTGAGTATCTGTCACCAAGATGTCTGGGCCACCTCCTCTGAGGGCATGGCTCCCAGTGCATTTGCCTCAAGCAATTTTCACCTGCGGACAGAGTGATCCACATGCTGGTGATGATGCTGTCTTGGATGTAGACAGCCACTTTTCTTCAAAGAGCTGACGTGGGAAATTAATATGCCCGGGGCTTGATGAGAACGAAGAGGGGTGATGTCATATAAGCCCTGGGAACGTGCTTCCATTGCGCTAGTCAGCTTAAGGTTGACCTTCTAGTCCCGATGCTCTTTCCTGGAGGTCCAAAACAGTCCTCCACTGATGTGAGGCTCCAACGTCTCCGGTTATTCCGTAACCCCCATCAGCAAGAATCTCCGGCCACACGTCGTCCTGAGCCCACTGTGGTAAGTAGCAGTGTCCAGTGTGGCATGGAGAGGCAAAAGCTCACACACACAGTGGCCAAGATGTGGAAACAACCCAGCGTTCACTGTCAGATGAATGGACAAACAATGTGTGGAATATTATGCAGCCATAAAAAAGGAATGGCATTCTGACAAGCTACCACATAGATGAACCTTGAAGATATCATGCTAAGTGAAAGAAGCCAGACACAGAAGGGCAAATAGTGTGTCATTCCACTTAGATGAAATATCTAGACCTAGACAAAGTCAGAGAAATAGAAAGTAGAATAGAGGTTGCCAGGAACTGGGGGAGAGGGGGAAATGGGGACTTACTATTTAATGGGCACACTGTTTCTGTTTGGAGTGGTGAGAAAGTTCTGGAAATGGAAGTGGGGATGAGCAGACAACATTGTGAAGAGAACTGTGACCACTGATGCCACACTTAAAATGGCTAAAATGGTCACATTTATGTTATGCTTATTTTACCACAATAATTTTTTAAAAGGTTCCTACAAAAGTCCCTAGAGAGTGGGTTTGTTGTCACCTTGGTAGCTTGCTCCCAATATCAGTATCCAAGTTCACTGCTAAGATCCCCAGATAAGCTTCACCTTGAAGGGATGAGATTTTAAGCCGTCCCAGACATTCTGTGAGCCAGTGGTTTCGGAAGAACATTCCTGCTCGTGAACAGTGCTACATCCTGCCCAGGGCTGGAGTTCAAAGGCTTTCTTCTTGTCAAAAAGATCATTCTTCATTTCCAAAATCAACATGCCCGCCCCACCCCCAGCCCTTTAGCACTTGATTAGTTGGCAAAAACCAATATTAGTTGAAATGAAAGGCAACCTGCAGGGCAGGGTAACTCACGAAGCTCCTGTCCTCCCCCAGGGTGACTGAGCTGACCGGGTACGAGCCTCAGGACCTGATCGAGAAGACGCTCTACCACCACGTGCACGGCTGCGACGTGTTCCACCTGCGCTACGCACACCACCTCTGTGAGTACCGCCCACGGGCGGGGCCTGGCCGGCCCTGGAGGAGGCCCCGAGGGCGGGGCGGGGCGTGTCCCTTGTCTGTTACAATAGTCATCCACTGTGTACATGCGAATCTTAAACCTCAGGGGTGAGTCCTCGCACCTCTGGTCTTAAACACAGCTACTCGTTATTAGTTCTCAAACACCCAGTGAAACTCTGGCAGGCGTGGGGGATGGTGCAGAAGTTTGTAGATTCTAGATTGTAGATTTGGAACCTGAACTTCTCAGAGACATCTGGACAACAGTTGTGAATAACCGTCACAGCCGTTACAGAACCAATACAGGGCCCTTCCTACAGCCAGGCAGTAGTTTAAGCGAGTAAATATCTATTCAGCCCTGTGAGGGAGAGTCTCATGCTCATGATCCTCCTTTTATTGCTGAGGATGCTGAGGCTCAGAGAGGTTAAGCCACTTGCCCACAGTCACACAGCAGGGAGGTGGCAGAGCTGGGATCTGAACCCTGGCAGGGACCGGCTTCCGACCACTGCCCACACCTGGCTGGGGAAGCTCGGGGGAGACCCCAGGTTTCTAGGATGAGAGAAGTCCGCACGGGAAGAGTGAACAAGCAGTTAGCCAACACGGGCAGTTAGTTTGGGGGCCATTTGGATTGGAGGGTGCTCTAGTCGCTAAAATGCCTAAATAAGTGGCATTTCTGGATTCCAAATTGAGGCAGCAAATCACTGAGGTGGAGAAGACCTCATCCAGGACGTGCAGCCCACCATGCCTGTGGCCAGCCCGGGTGCTTGTCTTCTGCAAGGAGCCCCGAGGGCGTGGCCTCCGTTCCTGCTTTGCTCTGTGTTGACTGAGAGGCGACAAAGGACAGGTTGCTGGTGTTGCAGGCAGACGGCAGGTCCAGGGGCTCCTCCAGCTGTAGGCACATCTGCCTGGCCTTCGGTGTGACTGGGACCCAGTGAGCGTGTCAGTTATGGGGGCTGGAGGGCGACACTGCCCCTCCTCCCGAGTCACTACAGGCAGAAACCGGTGACAGCCGGGACATTCCGGCACAGAGGTGGCAGCTTCTTCCTGTCCCTTCCAGCTCACAGCAGCGTGAAAGGGTCCCTGTGCACGAGAGACTCATGGTCAGGAACAGCCTTATTTATTTTGTTTTAAATCACCAAATCATGACCTCCTGTCAACATCCCTGTCATTCTCGAAACCAAGCTTCCCAGGGAGGCAACTGCCGAGGGCGTGGATGGGGTGGGCCGGGCAGCGTCGACGGCTGTGCGGGAGCGAGACCCTTTTCCCACACAAACGGTGCAGAAGTGTCAGAGAGTCCGATCTCTGGGAGACTGGATGGGCAGGCAGAAAGGGGGGTGTGCGCTCCGAAGCAGTGGAGCAGTAGGGAGGTGTGTGGACCAGCAGTGTGCACCCCGAACAGTCTGGAAGGGAGGCCGGCGAAAGGAGAGGAACCCGCTCACAGCCGCCCGCTCACAGCCGCCCGCTCCTGGCAGCCCCTGGAAGAGACAGGCCCCCCCTGTCCGGGAGGAGAGGGCAGTGCCCTGAGGGAAGACCTAGCCCCTCTGCTGAGGCAGGAGCGTCTTGGGGAGCAGCTGATATTCTGCAAGCCAGTGGAAAACAAACCCCTGGATTACATGAAGAAAGAGGTGTTCTTCAAAGCGGGGCTGCAATGCGGAGAAAGAAAATGTGTGGAATGAAAAGTCTGCTTTAAATACCTTTTTGTTTTTTGGCACGTGCCCCTAGTGGGAACCGAACCCGGGACTCTCTGGTCCGCAGGCTGGTGCTCCAATCGCTGAGCCAAACCGGCCAGGGCTAAATACCATTTTTTAACCTCTCACACTGCCTGGCTAAGGGAGGGGAGCAGGGGTGTTTTTCAGGGGAAATAAATCCCATGTGTGCTTTTGGAAAGGTAATGAAGCCACAGTGCTGAACTGCGGGGCGGTGGGGGGGGGGCGCTCCTGCGTCCCTGACACGAGCTGGGTGCTGTGCCCGGATGGTGGCCTCAGGACCTTGGGGATCTGGGCCGCTCCTGTGTCGTTCCCGAGGGAGCAAGGCGAGTCTCCAGGGCAGAGCCATGCGGGAGGGTCCGCAGCTGAGCCGCCCAGGACAGGAGCCAGTCCCGCACACGATGGGTCTGACACTCAGAGACCTCGGCTGGTCTTCGTCCCTAGGAACCCTGGCTTCCCAAGCGCATCTGGCTCACCAGACCGACAAGGGGCTTTTGTCCGGACGCTCTCCTGAGATTGCATGACAGATTCGGCCTGCCTCACTTGGCACGTGGAGTCTCCAGGCGTGGGGGTGATCTGAGGGGCCCTGAAAGGAAGGTGCACGCAGGCTTCCAACGAACACGCAGAAACGTCACAGTGTTCGGAAACCAGAGGGAGCATGGCTTTCTTCGCCAAGTGGGTAGAATTGGTCAATCAAAGGAAACAGGAAATAGCAATATTGACAATGATTGCTACTGTGCTGGGACTCTGACCTTACCCGTGGCCAGGAAACCACCGCAGACACGGGAGGCACAGAGCCAGGCCGCGGGGAGGGCGGGTGTGCCCTCAGGATCCACCGTGAGCCCCAGCTTGCCTCGGTCTCCCCTCCTCCAGCTTTTCCAGATAAAATGAGGACGGTGACAGCAGAACAGTCAGCCCAGGCCCCGAGGGGTGGGGTTAGTGTCCCCGAGGTCCAGCGTTGGAACCACCTTCAGACGCACCCTCCGGGCAGCCGTGACATTGACCTGAGTGTTTCTTCCCCTCCGAAGCTGGAACTGGCAGAAGAAGAAAAAGAAGATAGTCAACCACCGGGACGGGGTTTTGGGGGGCAGGGTCTTCACGGTGTGGAGCTCGGGCAATTTCGAAACCTGCCTGGCGTGGTACCTGCGGCCTCTCTCCTCTTCCCAGGCACAGAATGGGCCAGAAGGGCCCGCTCCAGAGGCTGACCCTGAGCCTGGAGTATAATAGTTTCTTTGAGTCATGATTGAAACACGGGTAGGGAGTGAGAGGTGAGCCGGGAACGGGAAGGAGCCACTAGATGGGTGCCGTCCACTGGCCACGGCCACGGGCCACCTGCTCTCGACTCCCCGGGGAGCACGCGGGAAGGTACTGACCCTGCTCCTGCCAGTCATGGGCTGAGGGCTGCTCTTGGGGTGAATTCCCTGATTTACCCCACATCGGTCAGTGCCGGCTCAGCCAAACAAAGGCCTCAGGGGGGACATGGGGTGAGTTTCTGTCCCAAAGCAGCCTCAGAAAAGCATCACCGCTGGCTTTCACCTCGGCATGAGCCGCCCTGACTTCAGAACTGTCTCAGGCCCGGATGTTGGACATGCAGCACAGAGTGCAGTCAGGGCCTCTGCCCTCGGGGCTCACGGTGTGGGGGACATCTGCTCCCTGCCTCTCCATCGCCACCTTAGACAGGAACGTGTTATAGATCGCTCCAGCCTGGGGTCGTTTCAGGCAGCTAATCAAGGATGACAGACTGGATGGGCAGAGAGGGCAAACGGAAGACTGTTGTGGCTAAACGTCTAGGATTTCTACTTGGATTGCTATGTTGACTGTCGCCGTGGGTCACAGAAAAGCAGCAGAAAAAACTTCTGTGTCTATATTTAGCCTGTGGATCTACGCTTCATCATAGCAGAGTCGGGGAGGGTCAGAGATCATAAAATTTGTGCAACTTCTGCCGTGTGGGTCCTAGTATAAAGTATTTGGAATAAACGGGCTTCATTGTGTGCAGCTTTAAGATGATTAGTGATAGGTTTTAGGAGTGCTGCATGAAATACCAGGAAGAGTCAAGTACAAGATAAGAAATAGGGTAAGTGTAAGGTCATACTCCTAAGACTTTACAAACACCACTAGGAACAGATGTCAAAGTGGTAGAGATGAGCATTTCTCTTAAAGAAAGCCTGGCCTCTTGGGAAACCCACAGATGGGACCTCAGTTTGATCATGTCACATCTCTTTTGGGGCCGTAAGCACATTGGTTAAGTCTCCCCTAATTGGCCCATCCCAGCCCCCTAGGTAGCTACACAGAACCTTCTGGAGGCCACTGTCCCCTCCTCCCATGGTGGCCATTCTGAGAGATGGGAATCAGAACACCTGGCCCAAGGTCACACCATCAAGTGGGCGGGGGGCGGGGTGTGTGTGTGAGCACACTTTTGATCACTAGGATTTGACTATGTAGTTCTGAATCGTATCTTTCCTTCGTGTACCATTATATAACACACCTTCCCCACAGTGTTACAATTCTTATTAACCATCATAATGGCTGCATATACTCCACAGTTCACTTACCCTCTTCCCAAGTGTTGGACAGTTAAGCCTCCCCTCCTTTCTCCCCCTAAGTTATAAACGGGACTGCGATGGGTCTCTGTGCGGTGTGTGTGCTGCTCCCGAGTCCCATCGGACCGGTCCCTCGAAGTGAGATCGGGGCACCCGTGTTCCAGAGGCCACACCGTCCACGCCTGTCAGCACGGCAGCGCCGCTCACCACAGATTAGCCAGCATCGCCCGCTGCCCTTTCATCATTATTTTTTAGATAAAGTTCACATAATATGAAATTCACCATTTTAACGACTGTCGGTGGTTTGTAGTGTGTTTACAGGGGTGTGCAGCTATCACTGTATCTAACTCCAGGGCATTTTCTTCATCCCAAGAAGAAGCCTGGTCATTCGCAGTCTCACCCAGCCCCCCTCACCCTCCAGTGCAACTCTTACTCTCTTGCCGTACATGGGATCTGCCCACTAACCTGTTTTCCTCCGCTGGTTAGTTTCCTGTGTTGCTCATGTAGGAAAGACCTCTGCTCAGCCGCCTAGTTGGCTGGGGGTGGGAGCAGCAATGAGCAACAGTTTGACACTTGGTGGAATGCACTTACTATTTGTTTAAATAACTACATTACTCTCCCCTCCCATCCCCCCCACTCCCCCCACCACACACCTGTTAAGGGTTTGGGGATTATAACATAATTATGGCATATTGGACATTAAAAAGCAAATTCAATTTTATCAATCTGCCAGGTGCAAATGTTGTTTGGGAGCTAATTTGTTTTTTCCGGTGAAACAGTGACTATTAAATTCGAGTTCTTTTTTTTTTTTTTTTATCGTCACCCGAAGACATTTTTGCATTTATCTTCAGATAGAGCGGGAGGGAGAGAGGGGGGAAGAGAGAGAGAGAAAGATTGATGTGAGAGAGACACATCGAGTGGTTGCTACCCACAAGACCCCAACTGGGGCCAGGGACAAACTGCAACCGAAGTACATGCCCTTAGCAGAAACCGAACCCAGGACTCTCTGGTTCGTGGGCCGATGCTCTATCCGCTGAGCCAAACCGGCCAAGGCTAAATTCGAGTTCTTTACAAGGGAGAGGAGAGGCTGCTCCTCAGGTCCCTTGGAACTGCTGGCAAAATGTGCGTGTGCACGTGTGTGCGTGTGTGTGCGCACGCGCCTTCCAGCAAGGAAAACCTTCCCTCTTCAAGTTCTCAGAGGTGTCCTTGACCCCAGACAGGTTCAGAACCAGGGCTGTAGGTCACCCGTGGGGCAGCACCCCCAAAGGCAGGGCCTGCTAGTTGCCCCTGGGGATTCATGTCATCTTGTGCTTGCAGTGCTGGTGAAGGGCCAGGTCACCACCAAGTACTACCGGCTGCTGTCCAAGCTGGGCGGCTGGGTGTGGGTGCAGAGCTACGCCACCGTCGTGCACAACAGCCGCTCGTCCCGGCCCCACTGCATCGTGAGTGTCAATTATGTCCTCACGTAAGTCAGACGTATTTGTTTCTCTCCTTGCTCTCTCTTCTCCCCTGTCCCTCATCGGATCACTCCAAAAGCACCATCTCTCTCTCTCTCTGGAACTGTTCATTTGTCTCCTGTTTTGTTTTCATTTGAACACTGGTTGGTTGGGAAGGTCCAGACCATTTCAGTACTCAGTACTGAGGGCCAGGTGCTTGGGGAAGGGAGCCCTGCTCCAGGCGTGGATTAGGAGGGGATCAGAGCCCTGGTACGGGGTGGGGGCGGGCAGAGGGAAGGCAGGGGATGCTCTCCATCCTGAACAGGATGGAAAGGGGTTGCAGGTCCTAGACCAGAAATACATACTTAAACTCTCCATGCCCACTCACGGCCGGGTCACCATGCCTGCTGCTGCCATTGGGACAGGGGATAGCTCAATTCCTCTGACTTCCTATATGGCCTATTGCAAATGATGGTGAATATTTGGTCCCTTTGAAGCCCCAGAAGGGCAAGTTCAGTGGCAAATACTTTTAAGACCATTAGAAGCAACAGGACATGAGTCTGCCTGGGACCATATACCACTCTCTGCCCACCATGCTGTGGTATATTAAATCACCTGGCACTGGGCTCTGACCCTGGACTCGAGAGCCTTGCCGGGCCCCAGCCTGCTCTGAACAGGGCCCACAAGTGTCCTGAGGGCGTGAGCATCCAGGCTCCACGTTCTTTCATAAGAGGACAGGTTGCGTTTTTGTTTTTGTTTTATTAGAAGTAGAGAGATTTTAGCAAAGCTGTAGGGAAGAAGGCATCTTAACCCTCTAAACACGTTATGACAAACAGCTGTGACACAGGCCAGTACATCGGGCAACCTCCCCTCCCATGGACATGGCGGCCCTGAGGTGGCTCTTTAGGGCAAAATGGGCTCCTGGACCCTCAAGGGTCCCCCTCGCAGGCCTCTCTGGGTGCTGAGCAGAGAAGCAGCAGGCCACAGATGCTCTGACAGACAGTGTCTCTGCCCTTGCCGTTGGCCTGACCCCTTCCTAGTGGCCCATGGGGTCCCCAGGAAATGTCTCGAGGCCCCGCGGGATTGGAGAGAGCCGCACCCACCCCCCTCTGTTCCTGCCGAATGACACTGCCCTCGCTCAGCATTTCTGGGGGTGCCGAGCCTGGGGCTGCTGGGTGGCTTTTAAAATGAGGGTGGCCTGTCCTTTCCTCAAACCCCCCACATCTGACCTCACTGAAATGACTCTACTGCAACCTTGAGGGTGATCCCGCGTGGGGGCAGCGCCCAGGGAGCCGATCTGCCTCGGCAGCCTGCTGGACACCACCCGTCCCGCTCTTGCCTCTCAGGGACGTTGAATACAAGGAACTGCAGCTGTCCCTGGACCAGGTGTCCACGTCCAAGTCCCAGGACTCCTGGAGGACCGCCTTGTCTACCTCACAAGAAACTAGGAAATTAGCTAAACCCAAAAACACGAAGATGAAGACAAAGCTAAGAACAGACCCTTATCCCCCACAGGTAACACATGAGTCCCACATGGGTGGGGTGTGCTGACATCTGTCCCGGGGGTGGGGTGGGGAGGACCAACTCTGATTGCCTAGCGGGGTCTCCCTGCCCGGGAGTTTCCCTGTGGAGTGAAGCCAAGTCCCACACGATAGGGACAGAGCCTGAGGTTCAGGCCTGACATCCGTGGCCACGGCAGGTCTCCCTGGGAAGGTGCACGGCCTGCTCGAGGTCACGTGAAGGTGGGTCCAAGCACCAGTGCATCACTTGTTTCCACGGCATTTTTAAAAAATGAAAACCTTCCCTCTTTCTTTTTTAAAGCATTTGTTTGCAGGCTCAGAAATAGCAGGTGCACCATCTGTGGTGTGTCGTCAGCTCAGGGCAGGGAGGTCTGTTTGCACCTGTCCCCAGTGGGACCTCGCAGTGGTGGCCAGGGTGGGTCCAGCCCTGGGATGGGGTCAGGCACCATGGGCTCAGACCTCGTGAGGCCACAAGGCAGGTCCCCCTTCACCATCTTCTGTGCCTGCAGCAGTACGGCTCGTTCCCAGTGGACAGACTGGAATGCGGCCAGCTCGGAGACTGGAGAGCCAGCCCCCCCGCGGACGCTGCGGCCCCCCCAGAACAGCAGTTCCATTCAGAAGGCGGCGACCTTTTATACGCCCCGTCCTACAGCCTGCCCTTCTCCTACCATTACGGACACTTCCCTCTGGACTCTCACGTCTTCAGCAGCAAAAAGCCAATGTTGCCGGCCAAATTCGGGCAGCCCCAAGGATCCCCGTGTGAGGTGGCACGCTTTTTCCTGAGCACGCTGCCAACCAGTGGCGAATGCCAGTGGCATTATGCCAACCCCCTAGTGCCTAGCAGCCCATCTCCGGCTAAAAACCGTTCTGAGCCACCGGTGAACACTGCTCGGCACAGTCTCGTGCCAAACTACGAAGGTGGGTCATGTTTGCATGAGGGGCGGGGGCAGGGCTGTGAACAGCGGCGGTGGCGGTGGGTGGCGCGTGGAAAAGGACCCTCACAGTGTGGGCAAGCTTTTCCTTTCTCTGCTTCTGAGTAGGGATTGCTTTATTTTCCTGCCTCACTGCCAGGGCTCCCCGAGAGTGGTCTGTGTGCATCGTAGACACGAGTGACAGTATAAAGGGCAGAGGAAACCCGGTGTTCAGCCACCTCCATGAACTCGCCTCATTTGCTCCCTCAAAGAGAGAGCAAGTGGTTTTCAAAAGCAGCTTCCATGTCCTGACAGTGGCTCAGCTGCGCGTATTGTACGAGTTCACGCTCTGCTCCATCCAGAAATGGACTTAGGAGAGTGTTGGTTTTCTTCCCATGTCATTTTTCAAAGTGCCGAAAACTGGTGGAAATTCATGGGCTCAGGGACAGAAATGTCACTCACTACCCAACCCCCCACTCCAGGACTCGGTTTCTTCATCTGTAAGTGGAATCATAAGCCACGGGATGTGCCTGCCCCCGGGCTCAGCACACTGCAGCATACACTAGCTCAACAATGGAAACAGCAGTGACCCCCCCAGCCAGCTCCTCCTGGTGGCTGAGGTCCTCTGTGGAGGTGCCACCAGCTGCCCCAGGCCCAGCAGACTCCTGTTTGCTCACTGGGCCAACACCAGACAGGGTGGAAGGAGGGGGGCCGTTGAGGACTGGCTGCAAGAGGTGTCTTTCTGTCTCACCCTGACCTAGCTACTGCTCAAAATGTAGACCAAGGCAGTGCAAATGTCCTACAGGCGCCACTAAAGGGCAGGTCAGCGCTACACGCCCAGAAAAGAAGCACCTGGTTAAAGAGGGGAGCTCCCTGGGTCTCCCTTCTCCCCACCTTTCTCTCTTTGGAGGCAGGTAGGGTGCTGATCCTCCTCTGGCTGCGTTGGGAAGCTCTTACTCTGTGCTCTGACCATCTTTACAAGGCAGTAAAGGGCATGGGAGAAATCTAACCTTCTCAATTACCAGGCCATCTTTTTCAAAAGTAACTAATTTAAGAACATACCAGCCACCAGGGCAGTGCAGCCCTGACTTTTGGCCTGGGCCTGTCCCAGGACCCACCGACTTCTCAGACTTGGATCCTCAATACCCATCAGTGTACTGCATCCCTCAAATAACCCAAGAAGGGTTCCCCAACCTCCCAGGAAAGAAAGACAAAACAAAGGGCTTTGATAACAGCCGAAAATATTATCCACTTGAGAGTGACTTGAAAGAATTGTTTTTCTTTGTGTGTGGGAGTTGGCCAGTAAGACAACACAGAATTTGATTTTTCAAAATTGCTATTTTGAAAGTGGGAGGTTAATAACCATCTCATTTATCACACACTTGGTAAGAAAAAAAAAAATGGACCAAAGGTACTAATTTGGGGCAATTTGTGATCAACTTCCTAGTGTTTTTCATATTATAGAAGACGAAGGTTGTCTTAAGGTAAAAAACATAAGGAGCTAATTGATGGCAGACGTCTACTTAGCGAAGGTGGTTATTATTTTAATTATGACAGCCCTCAATGGAGCAGGGTGATTGCCACTGCACTGTCCCCACTGAGGGATAAGCCGAAAAGAGCGGGCTGGCCGGGGCCACCTCGCACTAGGGCCGGGGACCTCGCGACCAATGCTGTCCAGCTCGGTGGCCATCAGTCAGCCACGTGTGGCAGGTGCAGAGGTACTGTGTCCGCACTGTGTTCCAGGGCAGAAAATGTCGGTCACACCTTGAGATGATATTTTGGGTGTGCTGTATTAAATTAAGTATATTATTAACATTAATTTCACCGGTTTCTCTTCACGCCTTCGTGCGGCCCCCAGAGCCTTTAAGTCGCAGCCTGCGACTGGACCGCGGGCCTGGGGCGCGCGGAGGGCAGGGTGGTGGCAGCTCCGTGGGCTGAGCGCGCGGGTGGCCGAGGGGAGGGGCGGCGCCGGGGCCCTAGGCTTCGGGCACGCGCCCCTGTTCCCCGGCGCGGACGTCTAACGTGTCGCCTGTCCCCGCAGCGCCCGTCGCCGCCGCCGCGCGCAGGTTCGGCGAGGACACCGCGCCGCCGCCGCCGCCGCCGAGCTTCCCGAGCTGTGGCCACTACCGCGAGGAGCCCGCGCTGGTCCCGGCCAAGGCCGCCCGCCAGGCCACGCGGGAAGGGGCGCGGCTGGCGCTGGCCCGCGCGGCGCCCGAGTGCTGCGCGCCGCCGGCCCCCGAGCCCCCCGGCGCGCCCGCGCAGCTGCCCTTCGTGCTGCTCAATTACCACCGCGTGCTGGCCCGGCGCGGGCCGCTGGGGGGCGCTGCGCCCGCCCCGCCCGCCCTCGCCTGCGGCCCGGGCGCCCCCGAGGCGGCGGCCGGCGCGCTGCGGCCGCGGCCCCCCGGCCCCGCCGCCGCCTCGCCGCCCGCAGCGCCGCTGCCGCACTACCTGGGCGCCTCGGTCATCATCACCCACGGCAGGTGACCCGCCGCGCCGGACCGCGGGCCCTGGGGCCGTCCTCAGCGAGAAGCCATAGGCCCGGCCCCTGGGCTCCGGATTCGCAACGTCCAGCCGAGTTCAGAGGGGCGAGCTGTATATGCACGATTTAAATTAATTTATACAGAGACAACTATTTTAATAGACTCCGCAGCCGACTTTTAGATTTTTACCGTAGATGCCGTAAAGGCCGGTGTAGAGGCCCGAGACCCGCCGAGAAGCGACCGCCCGACCTTTGTTTTCCAAGAGCGGGGTTTTACCGAAAGGGCAGAGCTGGGCGTCCCCATCGTCCCACGAGTGACCTCAAACCACCCCGTGTTTGGGGGCCCTTGGTGTCCTCATCTTGAAATCAGCCTTGCGTGCCCTGCCTTGCCCCGGATGCTCACTGGTCCCACTGGGGGACTGAAGGAGTTGGGCTCCACAAACGTCCTCCACTTTGAGGAGGAAAGTACCCGGATACGGCCAGATATGCGGGGTGGGGGTTGGGGGCAGACTTCCTGTACTCAGAGCCTTTTCCGATTCATTAGTCCAGGCAGATGATTATTCCAAGTCCCATGAATAGACAATTCTGCTCTTTAAAAGTCATGCATGGGTCTCATTAAAATTTGTTTTAACTCTTCCTTTAATACAAAATTCAACAAGCTGAGACCAAGGGGGCGAGCATGATTCTTAAATACATTCACAAGCTCTTCCTTCCTCCTAACGGCTCTGAATTCTTGATAATACCAAGAATAGCACCTTCAGAATACTGAATAAGCATTAAATGCAAAAAGTATATATATATATAACCAGATAGTTTATGAGATGGACATGTGGATGAGTTAGGTGCCCAATGCGATTGGCTACTACCCTGGTCAAGTTTTATTACAAGGCAAAATCCCTCTGGCCCCCACAAACCTGCAATTCCCTAGGCTCATGTTTGCTACCAGCATTAATAAAGTTAAGTTGCACGTGCAATATGGAAAATTGTCAATAGACTGTGCCGCGTGGAAGAAAATGTGCTCAAGGAATGTCATGAAAATGATGTATGCATCGTCTTCAGCATTTTCTACATAGCATACTCCATATGAACATGTCATGTGTGTAACAGGTAACAAGAAATCTTTTATAAAGCACCAGCAGTGTTTTATAAACTTTTATTTTATTTCAAGATTTCACCATTTAAGAGTCATATCATTGATGCCTTAATCCATCATCTTTCTATTTGCTTCACACTATAAACACTCCATGTTGCTGATTTTTCAAAAATGTTCTACTTTTAGGAAACTCCACCTTTCTGAATGAAAGGGTTTTTCACAAATGTCTTTAATTCATTGTTCTACAATCAAGTTCACCCTCGTTGAAAAATGTGAAGTATCTGTTGCCAACCAGTGTCACCATGAGGACCTGCCTCCTTCCCTAGCAGGGTGTCAGTTGTCTTATGGTATGAGATGAAATTTGCAAACTTGGGAGCACCTGTTGTACAGCAAGGGGCTGGGTCATAAGAATGGACTGCACACCTCTGACTGCACTTAGCTATACCTCATTAGCAGCCCTTTGTGAGTGTGTGCACATAAAATAAGCCCGAGGGATTACTTTTATGCTCACGAGTCTCATAATTAAACCATGATTCCCAGAAGGTGCAGGTGTGATGAGCAGGAGGTATATCACCTGACATTTTTCAATAAAGTACAGTAAAATGCTTTTGTGTCTACCTTGTTATTAACCATTGGGGGCTGTATTTAATAAAAACCAAACCACAAAGGCTTTCAGAGCAGTTTAAGATCAAAGGTTACTGTGAAGAAAGAAGACTGCTAAAGACTTACAAATGATAATGTAAACAGGCTTAACAAAGAGTGTGTATGAACTTGGAAAATAAAATGCATGCTAGGGAAGATGTCCTAGTCTAAATATCAGTTTTCACAGCCTAGAACATGAAGTAAGATTTCTAGGCAAGTTGGCTTTGAGGTGGTCAGCAGCTCAGTGCAAAGTTAACAGAGCAGTTACTATAGCAACCTAATATTGTTAGCTCCATTTTTAAGAGTGCACATTTAAGCTGGGGTATCGCTTCTTGACTTCTGTGAGGGTCTGGCAGGGGGAGAGGAAGCATTTTAATAAATATGCCTCTCACACACACACAAAAGAAGAAAAAAAGTGTAGTGGGTCCTAACATGTTAACAAAAATGCCAGATCGAATGGATTTGAGAAATAAGCCCAGTTCAAGACTGGCGGGGCCTTCACAGGGCCTCCCAGGGAAAGGAATTCCTTTATGTTCATGGAAGCCCTTCCTAGAAAAGCCATTCCATTCATACCTTTGTAGAGAAGTGAACAGGGTGTGAAGCTGGGACACTGGGGGATCTGCAAGAGCCTGTGTTCTCTGCCCTCACGTTCCCCTCCCCCACTCCCCTTCTACCATCCTGTAGCCATGTCTCCCTCCCTTGGACCCTAAGGTGGGAGGGGTTTATATGGTTAATGACTCCTGTATAAAGTTTATCCGAAGTTGTAATTTATTGTTAACTGTAAGACAGTTAAGGTAGACTGGGGTCTGCCACAGATAAGATGGAATAAAAACATTTTCAAATAAATGCCAGAAAATTATAGTAGCTTAAAATGTTAGTGAGTTGTAGCCCTTGATCTAAAATGCGTTATTTAAGCTGTTCCTAAACTTAAGTATGATTATAAGGTTAAAATCTTGAAACTGTCAAAAATCGAGCAGTTTCACAAGAGTAAGAAAAATATTCTATAAGGATAAAATCTGTTCTTTAATTTGTTACATTAAATTTATTTTTAAATTTAAAAACTTACATTAAATTGTTATATTAAATTTCCTTTTTTTTAAACTTTTGGTCTTGCTAACTTTCATTCTTTGGAATAAGATTTTTCTTTTGTGTACATATAATACATTCGTCAAAATACATTTTAAAAACAGCACTGATTCTTAATACTTAGAAATATATTCCTTACCTTGTAAAACTATTTATTTTGTAAAAATATGTTTAAATATGAATAAAAATACTGAACCAAAAGTAGTGCCTATTTTTAAAAGTGAAACTTGTGGTAAAAATAACAAGGAGCCCAAACTGTATAGAAAAGTCTTAAAGTTTATTTTGGTAGACTTGCTTTTTATAGGCATTGGCTTAAAGTAATTACTTTTCAGACATGATTCTTTGAAAGGCTAAAAATGCAAAGGTTGCCACTTCCTTTTATTTCAATATGCATAGTAATCACTCAGGAACAGATTCTCCATCCTGCCGTTAGCTGCAAAGGGACCTACAGAACATGAGCCTGCAGAGCCTCCCTTTGCATTCTGAGTCTGTTACGTGAGGCTGGTTTCTCTCCCAGTTCTCAGACTCTGGGGTAAATGTGGGCGGCAGGGTAAGCTACCCGACCTGGGCCTGTGCACCTACCTCTCATCTGGTCACAAGTGAATGCACCCAAGCAGCGAATCTCACTGACTGCTTCACACTGGACACAAACCTTCCCACTTTGCCCTGTAAATGCAGCCAGGATCTGCCCAGGGTCAGTTCCAAATCCTCCAGGAGTTGAGATTTTCCTTTCACTCACTGCTCCGTGGGGCCACAGGAAGCCCAGCTACTGCTGTGTCCTATTTTATTGGGCACTTTCAAAAGAGTTTCCCTGAAATCTTTCAGCTCAGAGATTTCCTGCCTTTTAAATAACCTGTTAGATGCTCAAGCACAGCCTCTAAACTGGGGGGACCGTTCAGTGTCCTACATGCATGCCCCAATCCTGAGTTCAGTGTGTTTTAGAGGTTATGAAGACCAGGCAGTTTCTGTTAAGACTTTAAAAGCTCCTTGAGATAAAATGGGGGGAGGGGTGCATGAACACCCCAAATCACTGAGTTCGTGTGCAAGTGATGGGTTTCCCTGACACAGAAGCTCTAACTAAAATGCCTTATTCAGCTGCTCTATACGAAGCAAATTTGTTCAAAAGTCTTTGGTTCACCTGAGGCAAATTGGGTTCAGAAAAGATGCGGCATCTGCTCCAAGGACAAGTTGCGTCCTTTGAGACAGCCCGACATGGGCACAAGTAAGAGCAGTCTCACCAGCACAGAGGCAGAGCGCTGGCCCCGCAACAGCTCTATCTGCTTTGACAAGGCCACACTTCATTAGTTTTAATTTACAGAAAGGAAATTAAACGGTAACATTTTTTTTCCCAAAGCAGAACTGTCTAGAATAGGACTCGGCTTAAAACAAAACATAGAATGTTTTTCATTAAATAACCTCCCAAAGAAATTCGGAAAGTAATGATGGCAGCTCTGAGAGACGGCTTGCCTTGTAGTACAAAGTTTGAGAAATGAATGCGCCCGAGATCTTTCTTCTTGATGATGTTTCGCAGATGCTCTCTCGAGGGTGAGTCCATTTTGTAATTTCGGGGTGGTGTGGACTTTTATTTAAACTTGGGACTAACTCCAAAAGAAGACTTGGGCATTGAGGAGAGAGTGATCTTTGGGGGAGGGGGGGAGGGGAATAATTCTAATTGAACTCTTAGTTGCAAAAATTACTTTTGAAGTTCTTTTTTAAAAGTTATATTTTTAAAAAAAACACATATTGGGTTGGTGTACTTAACTAAATGTTATTTTCCCCTTCCTACTGGGCTGCCTGTGCCGGGCTGAAGGTGCCCTGACTTCACACTGGAAACCATGAGTCTCGGGACTAGCCCGACGGGCTACGGGCTGGATGAAGATGGTGCTGGTTGCACAATAAGGCAATTTTATTCAAGCTGAGAGCTCCATCAAGTTTTCTTTCCACTAATTTCAGTTGGGACTGGCAGGAAGAGAGAAAAGGGGGCAAAACTGGCCTCTTAAGGCTGAAAAGTAAAGTGTATGATTCACAAGTTCAACAGAGATAGGAGCTACATGGAAAAAGCATGGAGTACATCTGGAAACAGCAAACGTATATCAAAAGGCTTCCTTTCTTTTGTTCTTCGATGGAGACTTTTAGGATATCAGATTTTGAAGATCTTTTAAAGAGCTCTCTCTCTCTCTCTCTCTCTCTCTCTCTCTCTCTCTCTCTCGCCCCCCTCTCTCACATACACACACCCTCCCTCTCAAAGGATGGTATTCCATAACAATAACATTTTCTTTCTCACCGATATCAGAAGAAGGGGGCAAAAAATAATGATTCACAAACACCATGCCCTGTACTTCTGTATTCTGTGCATGGAGTCTCGCAGGAATACTCCACATTTCAAAGCCTGAATGGGCTTCAAGCTCCAGACCCTCCTGTGCATGTGGTGACAGAGCAGCCTTCATCTCCAGCCGTCAGAGCTGAATGGCCCACCCTACATCTGAGCAATGCCTCATCAGCCCTTTAAGGATCTTGAACTTGATTCCATCACTTCAGAATCTATGCAGTAAAATTAAACCTATCAAAGGCGAGCTCATAAATTAATGGCAAAGTAACGAACCGATTTCCTCTGCAAGATCATTGCAACAGTCCCAGCGGGACGCATCTCTGTAGCCATCAGACACTATTATTGGACCACAAACCACTGGGCTGATAAGAACTCTTAGAAGTTGACCTTCTCTTTTCTTCGTTAACACAGAAGTAAAATGACACAAAGTGCCTGTGGTTCCTGCAGAAAACGCCTCCCGGGGTGCTCATAAGCAGCTGCCACACCTCCACCTCACCACCGGCCTGGCCCCAGAGCTTTCTTTGATTTGCTTTTTAATAGTCTAAGGGTAAAGGTCTCCACTACTGGGAAATTTGTGAATTATTCTATTGTGGTTTCCATGTTAAAGAACACTGGGAGGGGGAGCAATAAACACACACCCAAGCCCAAGAGGGGAGAACAATGTCACACCTTCAGTAGGGCTTTACCTGAACTAAATATTTTCCACTTGTCAACCCTCCACCCAGATCTTCTTCCGACACCAAATGACAGAAAAACAAAAACAAAAACAAAAACCTGACAGAACAAAATTCAAGAACTAACAGTTAACTGGCGGGAGAAGAAAATCCGCCCACACCTCTGGTTACTCTTCCAGATCCATGGGCGAGCAGCACAGAAGCCGACGGGAACGCTCGCTGCGGTGGTCGCACGTGGGTCAGCCCGAGTCCTCGCAGCCGCTGGCCTGCCCTGCTGCCCAGCACCAGGCCCACTCTGGGCACCCAGGCCCCGGCCATCTCCCCAAGGGGGCTACTGCTGCTTGGGGATGATGAGGTTTCTAAGCATGTCGAAGGAGTTGCCATCCGGATGCACAGTCACCACCCGGCCATCCTCCTGGTGAACCTGGAGGAACCCAGAATCATCTAGGCCGACGATCCACACCTTTGGCCCCTCAGCGCTTCCCAGGCGGACTTGTTGAGCACTGAAAATGATGCACAGAGAGGGGTCACTGGTAATGTGATGCAGCCGATTGAGACAATTCGTTCCATCCTTACCCATAATGGGAAGGGGTGTGGGGGTGCAGGGGCTGGGGCTAGGGAAGGGTAGACGCATCCATGCCGGGTTCCTGCTCTCGGGGTCTGCGTGAGCTGCTTTGACGATGGCTAGAATAACCAGGGGGATAGGGAGTTAGGAACTGCTTCCCTCTTTTTATTTTATGTATTGATTTGAGAGAGAGAGAGAGAGAGAGAGAGAGAGAGAAAGAGAAACATTGTTTTGTTGTTCCACTTATTTATGTGTTCACTGGATGATTCCTGTATGGGCCCTGACTGGACATAGAACCCACAACCTTGGTGTATCAGGACAATGCTCTAACCAACGGAGCTACCCGGCCAGATTAGGAACTACTCCTCTTAAAATGATCATCTGAGCTGGTGATCCACACACACCACTTCCTCCTCCACCAGCACTTTTAAGAAACACTGTGTAATGCTCTCGGTGTTTTGCATCAGACTGGGGGAAAAGAAGCTGAGTTGAAAAGTTTCATCTTATGAAATAAAGTTGGGTAGCATCAGCTACAAGTTAAACTCACGCTAATTCTCCTCCTTTTGAATATTTTCCAAATGTACCTATTGAGTTACATCCTTGTTAATAGTTTAAAAGTACAGAAATCGCCACAAAGGATTTTTATTTTGAATAATTTCAAACTTATAGAAAAGTTGAAAGAATAGTACAATGAAACTCATACTCTCCCTTCACGTAAATTCATATCAACTTATAACACACACACACACACCCCTTTATTGGGCTGACATGTAAAATAAGTTGCAGGCATCATGATACTTTATACTTAGATACTTCATCATGCACCCCTAAGAATGAGAACAATCTCCTGCAAAATCCGGACACCACTCTCACCTCAGGACACCTGGCCCTGACTGATGCACTAACTACCTAGCACTGTGCACGTTCCAGCTCTCGCACTGTCCGTCAGCATCCTTTGTGGGGATTTCCCCCCATCCAGGATCTAATCATGAATCACATGCTGCATTTAGCTGTGCTGCCACCTGCTTGTCTCAGATGAGCGTTTCTGAAGGGTGGAGCCTGCTGGTGTACACCAGTGCTTCTCAGAGTCAAGGGCATGAGACGCCCCTGGAGCACAGAGCTGGGCTGCAGCCTCAGGGTTTCTGACTAGAAGGTCCAGGGTGAGGCCAAAGAATCTTCATTCCTCACAAGTTCCCAGGTGAGGCTGCTGCTGCCACCTGGAGCACCTCACTTTGAAAACCATTGTTATCTAGAATGGTCCACAGTTTACATGTGTCTGTTTCCTCACAATTAGATTCAGCTTCAACGTGCTGGCAGGAAAACTCTCCGGTGATGTGGGCTTTCCCAACGCATCCCAGCAGGAGTCATGGGAGACCAGTTGGTCCTGTTACTGGCAGTGCTGACGTGCTCTAGGTGGTGTCCACCCGGTTTCCCTATCACCTAGACCAGTGCTTAGTTTCTCATTTTAAGATACTGAACTATTGACAATAATAAAGGAATTTTAAAGGAATGAAGATGAGCCAGCACTGACCTGTGTGCCCAGTATCTATAATACAGGGGAAGAACACCATTGGGCCCTTGGTCCTGAAACGTGGAGATCAGGTTCTCCATCACCGTCACAGTTCTCGCGATGAGACAATCAGCTCGTAAGGGCTCCAGCTGTGCCCCGTGCTCCTTATTGTATTCTGTGACGAGGTCGTTGACGCATATAGTAGGGTTACTGTTAGTCACGTTAAATCCACAGCCTGGTCAAAAACAAAAAACAACTGAAAAACACGAGCAGCTCAACCTATTGATGGCATCACACGTTCCTCTCAAACACCAAGAAAGAGGTACAGCTTTTACTGCCAGCTTCCTGCTTCCCTGTCTTCACTTTGTGTGTACTGTCTCTACCCACTTAGGGAATGACATGTATCTCTGAGCCCATCTTCCTTTAACATCCTTCCTTTATTATCCTCATCAAGCCAGGGCCATCCCAACCTTACTGCCAATAAGTCGGAAAAAAGCAAGCCACTCAATTAAACAGTAGCCACAAATGGGACAAAACTTCTTAGAATTGCTTCTGAAGCAATACCTCATGTGGTCTAGCCAAGAACTGTGGCTCAGTTCTGACAAATCTTGTTTCTTTTCCTCCTTGAATAACAGAACACATGGTTGAAAATAAAGAACTTTATTCAGGTCTTAAGGAGTAAACTGTGGATTCACAGATTTCAAAGCCTGGTTATGGTATAACCCTAGAACATAACTTTTAATACTTTATCCTTGGACGTCTGTGGTGCGAGGCTTACGCTGCTGGCGTGGGGCCAACCCACGTTCCGTGGCTCTTTACAGGCTCCCAAACCAGTGCTCAGGGAAGTGAGGTGCCAGCAGCAGCCTGAATAGGCTTATCTCTGCTGTCACTGACCCCACCCTCTCCGGGAGCGCGCGGCCAGCCTTCAGCAGGGCGCTGAATCCACCTCAGAGAGGTCTTCAGTCAGCAGTGAAATACCACGAGAACCAGGCAGCAAGACGATCGTGTTCTTAGGACCTGTGAGAAAATATCCCCTAAACTCTCCTCACCCAGAAGAATGATGTTTATAATAACGCTATTCTCCAATAAATGTTCTGACCCATTTTCAGTGTCAAGGGAAGGACTGATTGGCCTCAGCATGTTTTTTTTTTTTTTTGTTCTCTTTGTGTGTGTGTGTGTGTGTGTGTGTTTACATATACTGCCTATTAAAATACAAAGCAATGTAAGTTACATCTGGGAAACACAACTCCAGCAACAGGGCAGAATCTGCAGGGGTTCGTTGGTTCATTCATTCAGCCCTGCACACAATCCCTGAAGCACCTTTGGGGTGTAAGGCATGGAATTAAGTGCACACGGCACCAAAAATACTCATACTCTCTGAATTCACTAACTAAAAGTGCTGAGGAAAGAGCAACATTGACTACTGTCAACTTAGGCTGCGTCCTTCCGAGGACCAGAGAGCACCCCTACTGGGGACTCAGAATCTTTCCTGGGCAAAGACCCCCCCCCATACACACACATCCCATGGCCTTAAGGATTTAATAAAAAGATATGGATCCTCCCCACAGGAAAGTGTGTCTCCCCACGCTGACGGCATTCCTTGGCTCCCTGAACTCATCCCTGGGCTTCCCGGTATCTGTGGACCCTACTGAAGACCCTGGTCCAGCGGTTACTCATTTAAAGATGGAAAACGAGCGGTGAGGTCAGCAGCAGCCTGCTCAGAACAGCACTGCCAGTGGGTAGCAGAGCTGGAAGATAAGCCTTGTAGCCTTCGGCTGGCACTTCTGACACTCGCATGTTTCCTGTTCGTTGCTGTTTGAACGCCAATCAAGGTCACCTGGGCACGAGGGGGAGGCTGATGGTTGGATGGCCAGGGGCCTAAAAACTGTGGAAACTGAGTCTGAATCCATCTCCTTGCCTGCCATGGAGGTGCTGAGGTGAGACTGATCCTTCACCCCACCTTGACCAGCCTGAGCTTCTGCCGATCATTACGGAGAATGAAACTTTTTCCTGGCCCGGGGAGGTCAGATGAAGAACACAAGCTTACCAGGACACCCATTAACTTTCTTTATTCACTAAAAAATGATGCAGTGTATGTTCATTTTCTTTTTTTTACAGAAATGGCAAAATTAGAGACAGAAAGCTGATCAGTGGTTGCCTAGGCCTGGGATGGGGTACATTAATTACAAAGAGGCATGAGGGGAATTTAGAAGTTCAGGAAATGTTGTAAAACTGGATTGTGTTGGTGAGTGCACAACTGTAAACGTTACTCAGATGATAAGATTGTAGATGTTCAATGGGTGAGCTGTACTGTATAGAAATTATTCTTCAATAAAGCTGTTAAAACAACACATGGACTGATTTTTTGTCATTTAGGGAGTGAGGCAATTAGCAAATTAATTTTATATTTTGTTGATAATAACATATTTGTAATTTTTAAAAAATGCATCCAGTCTTCCAGGTTTGGGATACTGCCATAGTCACTTTACTTATTTATTTAACCCTCACCCAAGGACATTTTTGCAGCATTTATCTGCAGATAGAGTGAAAGGGGGGTAGGAGGGGGGAGAAACATCGATGTGAGAGACACACTGGTTGCCACCCACACGACCCCAACCGGGGACGGGGACAAACTGCAACTGAGGTATGTGCCCTTCACAGGAACCGAACCCAGGACTCTCTCGTTCATGGGCCGATGCTCTAACCGCTGAGCCAAACCGGCCAGGGCTGCCATAGTCACTTTAAAAAGAAATTAAATTGAGGTATACTGATACATATTATATTAGTTTCAGGTGTAGATCATAGTGATTAAATTAAAAATAATATTTGTACATATTGCTAAATGACCACCAAAAATAAGTCTAATGAACATAGTTACGGAATTTTGTTTTCTTGTGATGAGAACTTTTAAGCTCTAATCTCTCAGCAATATGCGATAGTATGTTGACTACAGTCACTGTGCTGCACATTACATCCCAGGACCCAGGAGTCTCCTCTTCTCTGTGGTTTCAGCTTCCACGGGTTTAGTCAACCACCGTCAACCGTGGTCCAAAAATATTACATTTCCCCAACCACCACCATCATCTGCTCCTGTTTCCTGTTTGAACGCCAATCAAGGTCACCTGGGCACGAGGGGGAGGTTGGATGGCCAGGGACATCATCATGGCCCCATGATCCAGGATCCCCTGAAGCATGTGATCCTCCTTCTGACATATCAGAGGGTCAACAGCAGCCTATCACTGCATCTCAGTCCATGTGATCACACAGGCATCCGAGCACCTGACATCACTACCAGAAGGGCAGGCGCAGTACCATAAGACATTTTGAGAGAGACCGCATTCACGTAACTTCTATTACAGTATATTGTTATAACTGTTCCATTTTACTATTGTTCTTAATCTCTTACCGTGTCTAATTTATAAATTAAACTTTATCATAGGTTTGTACGTATAGAAAAAACATACTGTATAATAGAGTTTGGTACTATCCATAGTTTCAGGCACTACTGGGAGGGTCTTGGAATTTTACTGGAATGTTCATTCTTTTGACCTCTTCACCCATTTTATTCCCTCCCTACCCCTGCCTCTGGCAACCGCCAATCTAGTCTCTGTATCTATAAACTTGTTTTTTTAAGAGTCCACATGTAAATGAGATCATGCGGATTTGTCTTTCTCCATCTCATTTATTTCACTGAGCATAATGCCCTCAAGCATAAATGGTAAGATTTCATCATTTTTATGGCTGATGACTGAATAGTATTCCAGTGTGTGTGTGTATCGATCACATTTTCTTTATCCATTGATCTGTCAGTGGACATTTAGGTTGTTTCCATATCTTGCCTATTGTAAATAATGCTGCAATGAACATGGGGGTGTGCACATATTTTTTTCGAGTTCATGTTTTCATTTTCTTTGGATAAATACCCAGAGGTGGAGTTTCTGGATCATACGGCAGTTCTAGTTTTACTTTTTTGAAGAGATTCCATACTGTTTTCCACAGTGGCTGCACCAACTTGCATTCCCACCAACAGGGCACAATAGATCTCTTTTCTCCATGTCCTCACCAACACTTATTTCTCGTCTTTTTGATACTAGCCATCCTAACAGGTATGAGGTGATATCTCAGTGTGGTTTACTTTCACCATTTCTAATTCAACAAGAAGCAAGAGTGTGAAAAGGCATAAGGAAATGCAGAAATACTAAACTAGTTTCGGCCACAGATAGGAAGGCTAAGCCCCTTGAAGCACTTCCAACCAATCTGCCTGCTTTGCACACATATTATATTCTATGACTACAAGACTCAAAGAATAAGTAATTCAGATGATAACTCACTCCCCCTATATAGCCATGTATGAACATTTTTATTTTTGTTAACCTAAGAGGGTTGGGGAAAAGGCTTTAAAAACTTACCAATAAGAATATAAAATGTATCTCCTATAAGTGTTGAGTTAACCAGAACTCCGCCAAGCTTCATGAGGTCACTGTAATAAATGTCGTTGGGCCACTTCACCCGTAAGTTGATGTCCTAGAGGAAAATCTGCATGTTAAACAAGCCATCACAGGACACAAAGTAGCAGGTGAAGTCCTCCAGCTAAAAGGGAGAGGAACAGAATACTCTAGAAAACAGGACATGGGGCCTCACCCCTCTTCTTTTTCAGAATGATAATCCCTTCTTTGGGACAATGCAGTATTAAAGCATTTCTTGGGGCTAGAAGGGTAGAGACCTCAAGAACGTATTTGGCATTAATTCCATCATTCTCCCCAACCTCATCTGTGTTTATCATCCTCAAAAACACTTTCTGAAGATGCCTATCTGGTGAATTAAGTTCATTATCTCAGCATCAACAACCTACCGTGGAGTAGCTGCCACGTGCTAGGAGCAGGGGGCAGGGAGAGGATAAGGCTCTTAGGATTCAGCAACCTCTGCTCGAGAGAGAAGGACGGCCCTGAATGAACCAATATTATGAACAGTAGCTAAATGTGGCTCGAGCACAATGCTGTGCGGATACCAAGGAAGAACTTGTTCCACTGAGTCATACGAGAAGGCCCTAAAGAATGGCTACACTTGGGTAATGAAGTGGATTGATCCTGAAGGGTGTGGCCTGGGCAACTCTGTGCTTGTGCCCCAGTCACAGTGAAACAGTCCAAGGGTGACAGAAACCAAAGCGAGCTGACAGCCCCCAAGCACCATGGGGCTGCCTCTCCCTGCACTGGGGGGCAGGCCCGGCACCAGTCCCTTTCTCGGCACTAGCCATGGCTACCAAACCCCTATGTTGGCAGTATGCCATCTCTGTGGAACAGAGCAGGACACTGAAGCACAAAGAGACTGAGTGGCTTCCTGAGGTCACACCACTAGGATGTAGCAGAGCTGGCTTCAAACCCAGGGCTTTCTGACACCAAGCCCGGTGCTTACTACTATGCTACGCAGCCTATCGCTTCCAAGAGATCCCTTCTCTCCTTCCAACAGGCCTTTCACCCGGCCATTTAGAATGTGCTTCTGTTCAAGCTCACCCACCCAGTAGAGCGTTCTAGGCTGAGAGAAGAAAGGCAGGCGCACAGAACAAATGTATAAATAAAACTCAGGGTGTTCATCCGTAACTGATAAGGAACTTCCTATTTCTTTTCTGTCTAGAGTAGGGTTCTCAGTGGAGGGGAGGGGGGTGAGGCATTCTGCCCCAGAGGACATTGGACAATATGGGGAGACATTTCTGATCATCACAGTTGAGGGAGTCCTACTGTCATCTGGTGGGCAGAGGCCAGACATGCTGCTCCACATCCTATGATGCACAGGATGGCCCCCAACCAAGATGTGGGGGCCCAAACGTTCATGGTGACCAGGTGGAGAAATGCTGGTCTAGAAAATGTGTCATGTGGAGACTGGTCTTGGTCATTCTGGAGATTCCCTTCTTTCTCCTCGCCTGCCTCCCTTGACACTGTGCCCAGCACAGCCCCTGCCAGAGCTCAGACCGCTGCACCTCCCACGGTGGCACTCACTTCTGTGCGGCCCAGCTCTCAGGTGCCTGCGTGACTTCCCATGTTCAGGTCAGCGGAGTTAAGGATGCAGTTCATATAAGGTTGAGCTGATACACAGGTAAACAATGACATCTGTTCCATGATGAAGAGGAGGGCTGCATATGCTTATTTTTCATTGTCTCACTCATTATTCAAATGGCTGCTGTGGCCTCATATATAAAGCACTAGGCTAGGCTCTTAAGGGTCCAAAATGAAGCTAATCCTACATTCAGAGAGCTGGCTACTGTGTAGGAGACAGAACAGGAGAACAAATAACTCTGCTCCAAAGCAATCCGTGGGAGACACTGTAGAAGGGGGTCAGACATTTAAAGTCGGTGTTACAGGAGGGAGAGTTTGTAGACAGAGGTTTTGGGAAACCGCCTTTGAGCTGGGCCCCCAGGATGGTAAGAACCTTCAGAGGAGGAGCAGGAGTGGGGAGAGGGGTGGGGCTGCAGCAGCCCCAGGGGACCTTGGGGATGGATGAAACAGCAGCAGCCAGAGAGGGTTCTGGAAGGAATGGCAAGCATTACAGTGATGCTGCCTCCGGTCCCGGGAGGCTGGGCATGATCTGTGTGCAGACAATGACAGCTGGCTAGGGACAAGTCAGGACCCCAGTGAACGACATAAGAAAGGTGACTTGGGCATATTTCAACCATCCTGTAGCTGTACGGTGCAAATGAATTGGGCTGTGTCAAAAATAAATTCAAGTCCAAACCAAGGGGACATCAGACAGGTGAGGCTGAGCCTGTCAACTGCGGAAACAGAATATGGACTTGGGTGGGGGTTTCTTAAGAAGAACAGGGGGCCCTCCCCCCATGCACTATTGACAGTAAGCTTTCTAGCACCATCCTGTGGCTGCCAGCACCTGGCACAGCCTTTACACACAGCAGGCATTCAAAGAATGCTAAGTTAACAAGTTTGGCTACAAGGTCAAAACTGAAACCATGAAAAATCTGAACAGATCTAGGATCAGTATTTTGCTTATCTTCCTAAGACTGATTAACCTGTTGCTAGCCTTAAAAATCTTCCCCCACCATGACAGAACTTTAGCTTCTACACTGCTTTATTCCAGATGAAATGTCCGGCTCGAGGGCTGCAGGCAGGGCCTGTGGAGGTTTCTGACAGTCTGAGGAGCCCGGGCCCATCCAACAGCAGGGATGCCGAGTCCTGGTCACAAATGTCATGTCTCAGTGTGCACGTTGGTAGCCTGACATGTACCACATCCTTCCCATAGTGACTGTGAGGACATGGCTACAGTGAAGGGAACCTGAGGGCCAGAGGGGAGTTCTGCTTCTCTGCCTAAACATGATGACAGGCCTCCTCTTGAGTCATGAGCTCAGCATCTTGCCTCGGGAATTAACGCAATGAATGTTTTTAGCCTGACATAAATAAGAGCTATAGGTGGGAAGAAGGCATGGGACACCCTCCCCCTTTTTATGGTTATATGAAATTCTTCGTGAAAACTGAGAAGGGGGATATGGTAGGTTGAGGCTGGGTACCGGAGAAAAGGCTTTTTAGTCACTGTGTTAATTGCTTGCTTTTCCTTGTCTTCTTGATCACTGACACCGAAGCATCCAACAGTAGCAACGAAGCAGCACATCTGTCCCTACAGCAGGGAGCAGAGAGTCCCAAACGAACCTGCACGGTGAACCCACACAACTGCAGACCAAGGAGAGCACTGCTGAGCACAGGCTGTGGTAATGGGGCAAGGAAATGAGAAGGATTTTCTGAGTCTATAAAATAAGCCTTTCACCAGAAAATACAAATAGCCCCATCCAGTCCAATGTACTTCATTTAAAAAAAGTCTTGCTCTTACGAGGCCACTTGACAACAGGACAGAGAGGGAACCTTAGGGGAGAAACCCATTTTGGTGAGTCTGAAGCAGCTGTAAAGCCCAATGGTGCTTTTAAAATTCCAGGCACGCTGCTGGCAGCTTTGCAGAGAGCAAGCCAAAGCTCTGCATGCAGCCGACACACAGACACATGCGACAGACAACCCAAGCCAACATCTGCAAACACAGCAGGGATGTGTAGGTGAGGAACCGCACGTACCTGGTACCCAGGGATGGACCTGACCGCCTCTACCACAGCCAGGGACATCAGATGCTGGACAAACGGGATCCTCTGTCCCAGCGGGGATCTCAGTGGAATGGAGACCAGCAGCGTGGAAAGAGCGCATCCCTCTGGGCTCAGCCACGCATTCCTTCCTCGCCCTGGAAGACAGCCCCACCGGCACACTGGCCACTTTGCCACATGAACAGACTCAGATACACATTATGCCAGAAAATGGGCCCGAGGACTCGGAGCCACACACTGAAGACATGTCCCACCTAAACAAACCTGGGCTGCTGGAGATGCTTGGATATTCTGGGGTTAACTCAACAACAGAGAAGCTTTTCAAAATCTGAAGCTCTGTTGCTGAACAAGTTTTCAATAATTAGCAGACTGTTCTGCCTCTGTGAGCATATCACTTATGCTTTGGTGATGCAAAGTCTTATAGTGTTGGAACATCACTATCAATCTAATTCTCAACATACGGTAACGCCAGCGAAACAGAGACGGGGAACCAGACCGAATCTATACCGGTGCAGGAGAGGTTCTGGAAGCTCCTTTTTAGAAGTTATTCTTACTGTGGTAATGGTCACATAACCCTGTGAATATATTAAAAATCACAGAACTGTACACTTTAAATGAGAGAACTGTATGGTATGTGAATTATATCTCACTGTTGTTTTAAAAAAGGAAGCTGGACTTAAAAAATAATTCCTGATATTAACTCTCTGAGTTGTTATTTTTCTTAAAATAGAAGTCAGGAAAAAAATAATCAAAATGGGAGGTATAGCTAATCAAAGTTTTTCTATCTTTTTAAGAATCACCATACTGAGTCCCACAGCTTTTAGTAAAACGACATTTTTTTCCTCTTTATGTTCAAAAGAAATGTTTAAGCTGTGTTGGGTAGCTCTATTGGTTGGAGCATTGTCTTGTACACCAAAAAGGTAGTGGGTTCCATTTCCGATCAGGGCACATACCTGGGTTTCGGGTTCAATCCCCAGTGGGAGCACGTATGGGAGGCAACTGATCAATGTGTTTCTTTCTCCCTTTCTCTCTCTCTCTTTAAAAATCAGTAGAAACATATCTCCGGGTGAGTATTAAAAAAATGAAATGCTTAAGAGAAAGAAGCAGAAAACTGGATGCCTTATTTCTTTGCTCCTTCTGAGAAAGGCATATGAGCGTGAGGGCTAAAAGCACATCTGGGTTAGCCTGGCACTAGCTTGGGGTGGAGACGGAAGGAGCCAGGTGCCTCCTGCATGACCTCTGAACATGGGATCTGCTCTCAACCAGACACAGTGAGTTCTGGGAGGATGTGGGCTCTGGCCCGGGAGGGTCAGCAGGTGGGGAAGCTCTGAGCGCCCTCTGCTTCTCTGTGGGCCCTCTGTGAACGGTGCTGCTCCAGTCCCACTCCATGTGGACTCCAGTGTCAGCTGGGACAGGGGCTGGCAGATGTGAGGCCCGTCCATGTGACACTCAGTATGGACACAGACCCTCACAGAGAACCCTCAGGAAAATAACTGTCTCTATAACATAGTTATGAGTAGCAAACTGCAATGCCTAGAATGTATCAGAAAAAAAGATTTATAAAATGTAGGTAACTGAATGTTAAAACCATCACAGGCAGATGTCAAGTGATTACTAAACATCTCAGTTTGAGAGAATGCTTTAATTCTGCTAAGGCTCAATCTTCTGATCAATTCTACCCCCTCTTCCTCCATTTAACCTGCAGGGTGGGTGGGGGTGTGGGGCCTGAAAACAAAGGACTTCTAACTGGAGTCACCTCAAGGATCAGCACACTCAATCAATCAGCTCTCTGGCCACGAGAGTCACAGATTTCAGAAAACAGACACAACAGAAACGATAACAAAAGATGACTGACCTTTGCCCTGTGTTTGGCGGACTGCGATGGCTATTAAACCCATTTCCTGTGGCATCTCAAACATCAACCTGCAAATGGTGGGAAAGACTGGTCAGCCAGAACAGAGACATGGGTGGAAGATCCTTCAGTGCAAAGTGGGGGACACTGTTTACATTCATTTGTGAACATGTGGGTGAGAAAGGGCCACCTTCTGAATCAAGGGATCGCACCCCTCTCCCAGCCTCTAGGAAGACAGGCGGGGGAGGCATGTGTACCGGCCTGAGCTGCTATCCAGTTTATTTAAGATAATGTTAGACTATATTTCTTTGGAATATCCCATCAAGTTCTTTCTGATGTGGCGTCCCTTCTTCGAGTGACAACTAACAATTCCTGACATTTGTTTCTACTTATAGTGCGTTTCTGTTCGAACCCTAGAACATAATCATAACAGAAGTTTCTGATTATTCAGAAAACCAATATGGTGGCAGTAAAGCCGTTTAAAAGATACACTCTCCCCTGAGAACTAATTATGTTTTAACTATAGTAAATAAATCTACACCTTCTGAGAACTCGGGAGAACCTTGGATCACTTTAGGCTTGAGTTCTGCTTTTAAAATGGTTTCATTTAAAAGAATACAAACTTCCCTTCAGGGGATAGGTAGAAAAGTATACTGTATCTCCACCAAACGAGGCAACAGTAACTTTTTTTCTGAAAAGGAAAGGGGAAAAAAAAAAAAAAAAAAAAAACCCTCACTCTGTGAATTTCCTCCCAGCTCGGTCTACGTATGTTAACTCTGTGTTAGGATGGTTTTCCTCTGTGCTCCCAGAGGTTGCTGGCCAGGTACTGAGCAGGCACAGTTCATGGTAGCATTTATTAAACAAAGCAAAAATCAGGTTTGCCCACTGTCAGGGCAGCTGTTGGGGCCTCTCTGAAATACTTTTTCAGGGAGGGAAGAGGCAAGGGCACAGATAACAGAGAGATGGTATTTTATATAAACATAAAGTTTTCCATAATAGTTTCCAGGGTTCCACAGCACCCCCATGCCAAGGAGAAAGGGCTCTAAAGTCTACCCTCTGAGTAGCTCTTCATCCTCTCCTCTGGGCTCAAGGAACAGGGGGAAACTTTACAAATAGTAAGAGGAGAAAAATACTTAAAAGCAGAGAAAAACAACGCAGTGTCTCTGTGCACCCCTGGCTTGCAGAGCTGTGCATCGACCAGTGTGTGCAGGCCCCGGGAGGAGGAGCCCAGAGACCCCTTTTCTTGCTAAAAGAGCCAGCCGGTCCTGTCCGGTAGGAGACCGGCTGGGCCACAGACACAGGGCATTCCCAGCGAGACGGCCACATGCTGCCCGCATGCCAGGCCCACTTCCATCTCCCGTGAAATACAGTTCCAGAGGTATTTCTCTTGGACACCATGAATAACCCATTGAGATCAACGGTGCCTAGACACTGTCGGGCTCCAAGAAAGCGTCCTTTTCTTGTGTTGGACCAACAGAAAGGCCTAAGAAGGAAGCTTTGTCCCTGCAGGGAGGTAAATTGTCTCCCAGGCACCTCTGCTGTTCAGAGGGCCCGGCAGCTCTTCACCTGGGCAAGGCTGTGGGCTCTTGGGGAGGGGATAACAAACCTCCACAGGAAGGGGGTGACTTAGCACACCGTGAACAGACTGCAGAGGCTCTTTCCGTGCCAGGCGATCTAAGGTGCTCTTTAAACAGACATCAGACAGTCATGTGCTATAGCCAGCGACAGTGATGGTGGAACTGGGGGCAGGGGCGGGGGATATCCAGAAACCAAACACAGACTTCTAGAACAAAGAGAAATGATGAAGGGAACATATGCACTAAACTGCTGGAGGTTTGGCAGCAGTTAACAGGGCATATTGATGAGAAGACTGGGTTTGTGGCGCTGAAGGCCAAGAGGAAACTGTGAGGAGGGAGACGAACGGGGAAGGGGGCAACGCTGAACCGGAGACAACTGGAGGCCGCCAGATTTATTTGTGCATCTGAGATAACTCTGGGGGCCAAACCGCACAGCCACAGGCAACAAAGAAGCATTTATGAACTTTGAAATTGTGCATCTCTCCAAATGAAGTCGCTAGAGTTTGCTTTAGCAGCAAGGAGGTACCATAAATGTATTTCCATCCTGACTTGATGATATTCTACAAAAGGAAACAGAAAAAGGAAAAATAGGAGGGCGTACCATAGTGATTACGGCCTTGCCTCTGTATATTTTCTTTCCTTGTTGGCAAAGGCTGTGGAGTAAAAGGATTTTGTGAGTGGCAGCCAAGTGCATTCACACCAACCGGGCGTGCAAGGAAAGCATTCTGTTTTTGCCTGAAACATCCAGAGACCCATAAGGGTCCCTCTGTAAACAGGACAGTGTCCTGGACACTCAGGTTCCTAAGAATATCACAGCACCTACGGGGAGCTCTGCCAATGGGAGTATCCTAAATTTCATGTGGTCATTGGAATAAAGCTTCAATAACTAAAACTAACCTAGAAGACAGGCCAGTATGAATTAGTGAAAATTCTAAAGGAATAAAAATTTAAATTTAGACCCAGTCAATCCACTTTGGGGATTTGAACCTAAGGAAATAATAGTCCACATTTACCACAGTGCTATATGGGTAAAAATTTGTAAATAACCTAAGTATTCAGTAGGGGAATACATTATTATGGTACATGAAGCCAGTGGAATAATTTACAGTCAATAAAAACATAGTTATGAAGACTGTAGCAACACGGATGAAATGCTTGCAACAGAATGTTAAATTACAAAAGCAGAATACAAAAACTATTTACTTTTATTCCAACTCTGAAAAAAATCATACAAAAGGGAGAGAGTGAGATTTGATAAAAATCTTTTGTTTTTTATTTTTAAACCTTTCTTTAACATGATTAGTTACCTTTAAAATTATTTTGAAAAGTTTTGAGGGGAAAGCAGGATTTTTATGTTCAGATATAATATTTGTAATTAATTGTTCATAAATATTTCTAAGAATAGGACTTAAAGATCTGCTTTAAAAATAAATAAGACAATAACAGTTATCTGTAGCCCCTTTTTATTATAACCAATGAGCAAGAGCTTATATAATAATTATAACGAGCAGAAATGCGTAAAGCCAGTCTTTTCGTATGCAGTGAGCGCCTTAAACATTTTTATGCCTTCTGACTTGGTGAGTGTACTTCTATGATTAAAGCCTAAAAAGTATTTGAACAGGGAAACAAAAGAATTTGGGGACACAATTATTCATCACAGCATTACATGGTGAAATATCAGAAACAATACCAACAGTCCATGACAGAGGAGTGAAAAAAAAAATCGCAGTAGCCCACATGAAAGAGTATCACCTCAGCACCCGTAATGTGGGCAAATGCCCACTGGACACCATGAGGTGATTTAATCAGCACGAATTCAATGATGTTTTAAGATATACTTTTTAAATTATTAGGAAGTATAACAAAATGTTAATTGTGATTATTTTACGGAGTATAATTATTTGAAAAATATAGACATGTACAAAGCAGAAAATAAGCCATCCTTAGACATCATTCTTGAAAATTTACCACCCAGAGATTACACAGAACATAAAGAAGACATTAAAATCATAAAATTCTGTCTTCACCTTCTGGAGATACTCACTGTCATTATCTCTTCTTCTTACTAAAAGTATATATTCTTTTAGACTTCTTCTCCAGTAAGGAAAACAAGAGGTATATTTTATAAAAGGCATTTCTGACAATTAGAAAATGTTCTTATTTGAGGTATTAAAATGATGTTGTCGATACACAGTTACGGACATTCTCATTACATTAATAATGAAAAAGAAAGGCTTAAAAACAGCATCACTGGTCTCATTTATGTCCATGTATTGCTATGTGCATTGATAGAAGAGTCCAGGACATGTACTAGTAGCTGTTAACTCCAGGACGAGGAGGCACAATTATATAATTTCAGCATCTTTTGTGTTGTTCTGTGGGATCTCCGGGTGGTAGAATTTCAAGTGTTTTTTATTATCTTCTTTATACTTTTCTGAATTTTCCAATATTCCTACATTTGGAGTACATCCATTTTATAACCAGGGAATATGCTATTAACAAAAAGAGTTATGTAAACCCAGCTTTTCTTCAAGTAGGTTATGCATGCATCCGCCAGCTCACTAGTTGGTGAACAATCTCCTCCTTTCTGAGAGATCACAGACTCACAATGTGAAAGCCACCAACTGTCTGAGCTTTCACAAGCTCACGGCATGCATCCTCCTTACCTCCCGCGACGCACATGTGGCCATGCCTGTGCCTTGCTCTGGATGCCTGGTGGAGCACGTGGCCTGTGCAAAGGTGGCAGGCTGAGTCCCAGTTACGTCCTTGCCCAGATGCCTCTGGGCTGGGAGATAGCCTGCACACGGCTGCGGGCATCTTATTTTAGTTTTTGTGAGCCTATGGTCTCTGCTTCAAATACCTAGCCCTGCCAGCCCTGTGTTCTCAGCCCCAAAGCAGCTGTTGATAATATGCAAATGAGCAAATACGGCTGTGTTTCAGCAGAAGTGTACAGACACAGAAATTTCCATTTCGTTTATGTTCATGTGTCACAATACAGTATTTTAAAAAATTACTAGACTTTACTTTTTTTAACTTTAGGTTTATAGAAAAACTGAGCAAAATGTACAGAGTTCCCTTCTCCATACAACCCATCAATGCCCCCTCAGTCTCCCTATTATTAACACCTCATATGAGCGAGGTACGTTTGTTATAACTGGTGAGCCAATATTTGTTCAATACTCACACAAAAAGTGGTGACTTAACTCCGACACGCCTGGTTAAGGTGCTGTGTGCCAGGTTTTTGCACTGTGAAGTTACTGTTTTTCCATTGTAATTAATACATACTTGTAGAAAGATAAATATGTTTATCATATAACTTAATCTACTGGTTTCAGCATCTGTGAATGAGTCTTGCTTGACTCAATTATTTATTTGATGATTGTCAAACTGATTTTCTGATTCCATCATTTCTTTCATATTTACTTGTTGGGATACTACCGTGAGGGCTTTTTCTTCTCCCTCACTTATTTATCTTTCTTTCTATCTATCTATCT